TTGATTTATTAAACAGTTGGTTAGATGGCGTCGCACAAGTTCGAAGTAAGCCTTGTTACTTGATATTTACAACTAATATTTTAAATGCATTTAATGATCTTATGATAAATTTGTTCTTATTAGTTACATTGTTTAGACATTTCTTTAACAAAATATATAGTAAATAACAGATTTGTAAGAATCTATCGATTTTTATTAAGTGTTCATGCATTAGGTGGAAATATCAATGAATACCAAAAAAAATTAATGAACAACCGTTCATTCATTGGCGAGCTTTGTGATAAATGCTTTACCAGTGAATGAACATTCAGTCTGTTTACTCTATTAACTTCTAATACGTAGACATAATTTAACATCTATCAGAATAAAACAATAAATCATATCTATCTAGTATAAAAAATGCAGTTATCAATTATAATTGCACTGATTTTAGTATATCCTGATTTTAGTATATCCTGGTTTTAGTATATCCCTGTTTGCATTACATCATCTGAATAGAGAGAAATGGAAGAAAAGAAACAAAAAGAACAGAAAAAAAAACAATTGGTCAAGTTAGAAAAGATAAAAAATAGAGAAGAAAAGAAAAAAAACAAGAAAAAATGAAGAAGAAAAAAGAAAAAGAAAGATCTAAACAAAAGAAGTTAAAAAAAATAGCAAAGACAAAAAATGCAAAAAAAAAAAAACAAAGCGATTCACAAAATAAAACCATGTGAATGGAAATGTCCTGAGTGTGAAGAATTTTTTCAAGGTCCTCCAAAAGAAGATTGGATTTAGTGCTTATCATGCTCTTTATGGTGGCATGAGAACTGTACAGATTATGATAGAAAAGAAATGTTTATTTGTAACAAATGTTATTAATTTGTTATATTCAAGTTAATTTTGTTCTTTTTTTTTGTTTTTTTGATACGACCATACTTTATTAATTTTTTTATACATATAAATGTTTATAGTTTTTTGTACTTATATATAATAAATAATATTTTTTATTTAATATTACTCTATATATTTTTTTCTAAATAAAAACTTACAGTTACATTCATAATTTCATAAAATATGCATAGTATTACTTTTTTCGCACTCTGATTGGAACAATTGCTCTAATTAATCGAGAAAATTAAATAAGTGCATCGAAAACATTTACTTGAAAAATATTATTTCGTTCATTCACTGGAATATTTTGGTTCATTCATTAGAAATTCATGTTCATTAATTGGTCATCTGGCTATTTTTTATTTAATTTTATGCCAGACTTTTAATAAAAGCTATAAATATTAAATATTGCTAGACTTGCGTCCTAAAATGTGCGCGCGCGCGCGCACGCACGCACGCACGCACGCACGCACGCACACACACACACGCGCGCGCGCGCACACACACACACACACACACACACACACACACACACCACTAAAACCGTATCTATTTTGTTCACTGAGAAAAAAAGTTGTTGAAATAACAAAATCGTATTTGATTCAACTATATGCGGCGGTTACGGGCTGTCAATTAAATAGTGATGATATCATGTTTCAATAGATATGACAATTAGTTTGTATCAAAAGACATATTTAGTTGTTTTAACAAATCGACAGTTTGTTTAAATACAGATTACTTTAAACATAAACAACACAGTATTTTGTCTCTTATAATAATAAGCACTTTGATTAGACTAAATATTTAGTACACATATATTCAGACTAAATATTTAGTACAAATAAATTCAGTATATTCACTTAAAGTAACTGAGTATTGCGTATTTTATTTTTTTTTTACCAGTATGTTTTATTTCAAATTACCATGTATTATGTTCGACAGAACAATTCATGCTCTAGTAAATTAAACAATTAAAATATGTTATAATAATTAAAATATGTTTATCACCAATATTGTTGATTCAACTTATATGAATTTGTTATTTTTCTCGCCATGTACTTGAATTAAAAAAACACAAGTATTTCAGATAACAAACTGACTGCCACACAACTAAACGCATTTAGTTGAGTTAATAATATTTTTTTCTCGGTGTACACGTTTATATTTTTTTGCCGTTTTTACAAAAACGTATAACGTAAATATATGAATTGAGTAATGAAAGTACGTCGAGCGTGTTTTGCCACCGCAAAATAAAACAAAAAAACTGGTCTGTTTGAGATAAATATAACTAAATTGTCGAAATTTTTACTGTTATTCTGATTAACTGACGATTACTGTTTCACAGATATTTACTTGCACTTACTTTTGATTATATTTCGCGATGTTACAGATGATACACCTTGTCTCACAATCAGTTATTCTTCGTCTAAGTTGTTCACTGTGCTTCTGCGTTGTGTATAAATATGCTTCACGCCTTTGCACGACACTTTCTTCTACAAGAACGAATTGCACAAACAACTGAAAAAGAACGAAAGCCGAATCGTTTTTAAGGACTTTCCTCCTCTCCGTATTCGCTCCCTTCCCAAAAAAGATACGTGCTTCGACAGGATATCTAAGCTGTCACTAAGCAGAGCTGTGGGCGGAACAATTTTGCAGGAAAACTTTTTCTGCAAGAATTTCTTCTCGATTTGTGCAATATAAATTGAGAAAAGAACAAAAGCCGAACCTTTTTTAATTGTTTTTTCTCTCTGTATTTGCTCCCTTCCAAAAAGATACGCGCATTGACGGAATATCTGAGCTACCACTAACAGCCAATTTTTTCACTTCTAGATAAGTTTTCGATAACTTTATCTAGAAGATATCTCCCAAAATTGGTTCTCCTTATTGGTTCTCAGAAGAATTTATCCAGAGGATAGCTATCGAGAGGTATGAAGAAATCGGTCGTAAGCAGAGCTGTAGGCGGGACAATGTGTTGGGAAACGTTTCGCGTGCACGCAAGTAAGATAAATGAAAAAAAAACATTGTAAACATTTGATGATGTATCATTTAATAAGATTTGCAATCAATTTTGATGAATATTGATTTTTTCGTAAATTAAACGCGCACATTCTCTTGTGATTTTTTTCTATCGCCGCGATTATTTAGTGTGTCGAAAATAAAAATCTCACAGTTTTTAACTTTTTGCAGTATGATTTAAATGGCGACCATATATGTGTCGATGAGAAAGTTGCGTATCACTCGTTTCGCACGATTTTTTTTTTTTTTTTTTTTTTTTTATTATTCCTTAAAATCACGAGTCTAATCTTCAGTTTGAGCCCAGAGCATATCACGCGTGTGATATGTAATTCTCAGTTTGGGTCTAGAAATCATGCGTCATATAATGCGTCTAATACAGGGTTCTCATTTTGCATCCAGAAAACATATCACGTCTCTCACACGTTGTTATACCGCAAGGGGTTAATATACACAAATGACCGCATAGAATCCTATCAATTAACACTTTGACTGCCGCTGTCACGTATACGTGATTTCGCGCAACGGTTATCAGCTGATAATTACGCAGACGTGATCTCGCTTTGTTATCGCGTGAATTCATATAAAGCGTAAGTGTATAAAATCTATTAAAATTATATTAAGTTTCAATAATGATGATGGATTTAATGTTTTTTTTTCGAAAAGTATCGTAATTGTACTACGATACTTAGAATAGACTGATCGAAAAGTGCTGGCGATAAGATGTATGGGAAAGTGGCCGGCGAGTAGAAATCAACGGGCGGCTGTCAAAGTGAAAATAAAAAGTATCGTTAAAGTCGCTCGGAAACGTAGCCTGAGAAAAACCATTACTATTTACTAATTTTATCTCTTCGTGTACTGACTTCCAAAAATTACTTAGCTAGACTGAGTTGGTCTGCAAAATCCACGCGAACTGTAAAATTAAACATCTCCGCGAAAAATCAATATTTTTTAATTTTTTTCTAATCGAAAGGTTGAACGATTCTGCGTTGATAAAAAAACGAAATTGAAAAATTTTCTAGTAGGTTCTAGTGCTTTCGAAGATATAAGCGTTTAAAACAAAACATCAATCTTTACTAGAGACACGCAATTTTCGAGTGAAAAGACGTTCAAGTGAAAAGTGTCCCGTTTGACATTGTCGGCGTCATAGTGGGAAGTCGACATTGCCTAGCACAGAATATGCTATTGTCACTTTTATAGTATAGAAAGCATTTTTTCGAATATTAGTCTATTGTGCATGACAAAGACAAAACTTACGACATTCTTAAAAGTTTGAAAAATTTGAACAACAATCTAGTGAATGAATCGATGTAAAAAGTGATATCACAGTTCTTCACGTGAAAAATCTAAGCTGTTACATAAAATATTTTACAAAAACAGAACTTTGAAAATGAGGAAGTAATGAATAGAGCCTCGTACAATAGAACAAAAGTCATTATCCGAAAGTATAAAATATTAGCTTTTAAGAAAATAAAAAGTTCATTACGCATCGGATCAGACTTTGTTCCAATTCAACGTTCATAGCTAATTTATTATCTTTTCTTTTTCTATGCAGAGATACGCACTTTCTTTTCATAAAGTAGCACAAAATCATTTTTCGGAAATGAAAAATAGCTTTTAAGAAAATAAATAATATTCGTTACGTATCGGTTGTTTTCAATGTAACAACAGATTGATTTAGTTTTTCTTTTTCTAGGAAACAAAACTATGCAGGTGTTGTCTATTGTCTATTGTATTTTGTCCCGTGCAAGATTCCAAGTTGGACCAAATAAATTTAATCTTAAGCAGACGGATAAATAAGGAGAGGAATTCACTTCTTTTTTTTTTTTTTTTTTTTTTTTTTTAAATAACATACAAAACGTTTGCATGCTGTATAAAGACTGAATTTATATGTATATTCAACTATATATAATAATCATATATAAATAACTGCGCGCGAGAGAAGGGAAGAGAATTACAAGATAATATTACAATAAATTGTACGCGTGTGTAGTAAAAAATGTTTTCTGTTTCTCTACATATGTTTCTGAGGTACCTTAACTTTTACTATTTACAATGCACTTAATTTAAAAACATTTGTGTTGCGACATATCACTACATAACTCATACATATTATGTCTCTCTTTGACTAATACTTCTCAAAATAATAAAAAAAAAAAGTTGAAACGTTAATCACAATCGTGCGCAGAGCGTGGTCGATGCGTTTCGTAATTTTGTGTCGTATGGAGTTCGAAACAAAAAAAACAGATTTGGGTTTTCATAGGAATGATCGTGCTGTTCAAATATAATAGTGGAATAAGACATATAGATTACCGTATCTCGTTATTGAACAATTGTGATATTTGTGTGTACTTTTAATGTGAAATTTATTTTTCCAATTTACTCAGTGCCAATTGAGTAAAGATAACAAATTTATTTTGGCGAAAGTTACGTGTTACAAAAAAGTATGAAGAATAGATTTAAGAATCTCGATAAATTGAGAAGAGAAACGCATCGTATTTACCACTTCAAAAACTCACGCATATACACACTTCATCGCCATACAATACAACAAACTTCTGTTCGTAATTTGTTTTACTCAAGGCACTCGTGCTACTTCTTATCATATTAAGAAGGCACTAATCATGTTTGTGTATAAAAACTCTGACAAGAGAAAATCTTTCTGTAATATAAAATTATATTAGTCATAAGCTCGTGTAAGCAGTAATCAAAGTTTCTTTTCATTTTCTTTGCAATATGTTGCAAATAGGTTGTATACAAGGTTTTTTCACTAACCAATATTGTGTTTATACTATATATTACAATCATTTTTGTTTGTTACATGTGTGGAAAAGGCTCGTAGAAAAAAAATAAAAGATCGCAGAAGAAATACTTTCATGTTGGTAAAACATTTTGCCAAGTAATCAATTATTCTGAAATTACAGTATATTCATTCATTTGTTTCTTTCATACTAATAGTTTAAAGATAAATTTCAAGTCAAATGGCAAGATGCTGTTGCATTAGGTATAAACAGAAGTTTTGCAATGTTCACCTCACTTTGTTCGTAAACTTTATAAAAACGGCAGCAATATTTATCGTAATACTTTCACATCAGTAATAAAAATAAAGTGAGATAAAAACTGGAAAACTGTCACTTTTATTCTACAACTGTCTCTGTTCTTCTTTGTATAACTCCCGCAGAGCAAATTCTAATGAAAAAAAAAACACGAATGAAACAAATAGTATAAAATATTAAATATTATACGAATTTCTCAAAACAAAAAACAGAAATGGTTAGATAATTAAAAATTTTTTATCGAGACACGGAAATATTTCGCGCCAAAATTCTTGCGCATGAGACTGATCGTGACTCTCTTACACGCGAATTTCACATTCTGTAAGTAGATGTTAGCATACTTGCCTCATTAATTTAAACAACCAAGTAGTTTTTTTTTTGACATTGAGATTAAATGCAATGGAATATATTAATGAAACACACTAAATAATGTCATACATAATTATGAAATACTGACAATGAACACACATTTTCGCACATGCTTGTTTTCGTTAATAATGATAAACAACTAATTTTTTTTTATATGCAATTTTTTATGGTAGATTTCTTCCCAGAATAATTGAATAAACTCGGCTAAAAGAAAATTATTATAAAATGTAAGTCTGTTATTGTATATTGCAGCTAATTTTGTTTATATCATAAATAAGATGTGTAAACAAATAAGAGATAGGTGTATCTTATAGGCAAGTGCGAGAGAGAAACTAAAAGAAAGGATATATATATATGTGTGTAATATATATATATATCTCTATACACAATACAATTATACAAGAGAACATAAATAACAATGTTAATAATAATGGCGAAATAATAGTAATAACTAGATATTATTGGCACGAACATTAATGTCACTTTTATGTTGCATTCCCGAAGATCTAGCAATATTCGAAAAAAAATCATACTGAACTCTTGTTGTAAAGATAAAACTAAGTATAAGTATGTTTAATAGAGAATTGCGAAGAATGCGAATGGTTATACATCTTCGGGTTCTTTTCGTTGATTATTATTACATGTGTGTCTTATTAGTATTTACGTAGACGATACACACATTTATTTGTGGCGGCAATCCAGCCATCTGGAGGACGCGGTTTTGTTTTTCTTTTTTGTAAAGACAAGACCGTTTCGGTGACCTTATCTTGCCTCTTGAGTAGTAATTACCTTCGCAGTGAAGCCATACTGAGAGCCTTTCGTGTCGGTTGATCCGACATTGGTGCTACGAGAACATCGTCCCTAGTTGGAAAACTAGAACCACCATTATCCAACTCCTACAAAGAGAGATATGTATAGAGAGAATTGAAAATTTATATATTAATATATATATTTGTATATTAATTATAATTAAATTCTTATAGTTTTATATATTACTAAAATTATTAGTGACACATGTGTGTACTAAATTGTTGAACTATTGAATTACGTCTTATATGTTATATACAGTGATAATAATTAAAAATAACTGCAATATATTTATCTCTCTCACATATTCTCTAGTTTAATAAAACATCTATAAATAGTTTTTTTTCTACTTGTAGACATATGTTAAGTGATATTGAATAATCGCGTTTATATAAAAACATTTTTTATATAAAATGATTTTTATATAAACTTTTATATAAAAACTTTGTTGTATAAAAAGACTGCATATATGTGGGTCGTTTGATAAGTTTGATAAATTTCTACAAAATGCTGCCACAATTCATTTAATTATATGACGCTTGGAAAATTCCACTTCTCAAATTCGTTCAGGTCAAATTTCAACCAGAAGTGACGCATTGTTCACGCTCGGTAGTCGTTTAAAGCGAGTGATTTAGCAGATGTCATGAAAATAGAAAAAATGTTTTTAAATTTGATGTGAACAAAAAGAAGTCGCACAAGGCCAATCCGGAGAATAAGATGAATGAGATTGTTTGCTTCAAACAACTACTGAACGTGTCACTTCTGACTGAAATTCAGCCAAGAAGAATTGAAAAGTAGAACTTTTTAGGTTGGCCTGGAAGGATTTGAGTGGAACTTTCTAGGCGTCATGTAATTAAATGAATTGTGCCATCATTTTGTAAAAATTTACCAAACTTTAAACGACTCACGTATATATTATACTATATTTATTTTATATAACGTACTTACATGATTTCTAATATAGTTTATCCATTGATTTTGAGTTAGCATGGAAAATTTAGAATGCAAGAATTAAAATAACTTTTTTTCTGAGCGCACATGCGTAAAAATATAACAACATAAATTATAAAAACATAAATATATTGCATCAACGTTGCAATCGGAAGCATATCGAGTAAATGTCTATATACATGAATAGAATAAAAAAATTAAAAAAATTACAAATAAAAATTTCCGAATCAAATGTGTGTAGTATTTTATTGAGATAATATTTCGAAAGAAGTTAGTTTAACAAAGCAAGTAGTTTAGAAGAAGAAAAATGATAGAATAAATAATAGTACACGACTATGAAAACTGAACTTGGTTTTTTTCACAGTCTGCTTAACGTATAGAAAACGTTAAAATAAATGGAAGAAGTATAACGGAAAAGCAATAACTTCCTGTCACAAAAGGTTTGGAAATGAAGAAATAAGAGAAAAGAGTTAAGAAGCACAAGAAAAAGAAAAAAATTTTTGACAAAATGTAGTCAACTAACGCTGATATTGTTGCAGCTACCTAACCGCATCTGAGCTATTTGTGGATTCGTTGGAGCAAGACCATGTGTTGATCCAAAAGGCGACATAATAGTGGACATCGCTCTGTTTAGTTTGCTTGGTGTTTTGTTGAAACTGAAAGCACGGCCGACTCTTGCCCTCGTACGAGATGCAAACCTGTAGAAAAGTGTGCTTCAAACATACACTCTTATTCATAGTATTATATAACATTTATCTACAGTCTAAAATCTATTTCACAACAATATTAAAACTTTCTTTCCTCCTTTAGAATTTAACAATTTGTAAAACAAAATTTTTGCTTGTGCACTTTAGTGTTTGAAGATATAATACTAAGAATTATAGAATTATATTACAATAATATAATTACAATAATTACAATAATATAATTGTAATATAATTCTATAATTTTTAGTGTTATATCTTCTAATTATAGAATTATATTACAAGTCATATTACTAAGAAGGAAAACAAGTTTTTTGAACAAATAAGACAAATACAATTACGAACTCAGACAACAAACTGACAAAGATTTATAATATCCATATTATAATATCTATATTATAATATTTATATTATGAAAACCAGCTCAAGCAGCTAGAATTTCATTTGTTACAAAATAATAATAGAATATAAACTTTACATGCAAATTTTCTATAATAAAAAAAAACCGAATCTAAAATTACATGCAAGAATTATAGACAGTGAAATTGCACCATAGCTATGTAAGAACTGACACCTTTTCAAAGATATGTACAAGTATGTATGTGTATGTAGTATTTTTTTAATTTAAATATTTATTTTAATAAAGAACAAAAAAAGAAATAAAATCAAGCAAGTGTAAAGTTTTTTAATAAGAGATTTTTAAAGCAAAGTAAGACAAACTCAATCAATGCAGGATATTTATTCATATCACGATTAATTAGAATGAAAATTACAATGTGAATAAAACAACGTGCAAATGTTTACACATTCTATGATTCTCATTTAATTATTAAAAGAAATTAAAATAGTTTAAGTGAGCGATACAAAAAAGCTTACGATTATGTTACGCTTGAACTGATCAGAACTGGCTGTAATTATTATTGAATAATTATTTATCAAAACACGAATTAAATTATAAGAGCAAAGGTTTTCAGTAACGTAATTGCAAAGTCTTTCGGTCTTCAAGAAAACACACACTGATAAAAAAAAAAAGACTACTTTCATTCGCACAAGGTCGGAATTTGTTTTTGAAATCATCATTATTACGCACTTCGAATTTGTTTTCTTATATTCAAAAATAATTACGTCACTGAGTAGGGTTTGAGGACAAAAAGCAAGTAAAAAAATATAATCAGCCTGGTGCAAAAACTGACGGTAGTGGGACATGTAACGTGGTTTCACACATGCTATTGAGTAGGAACACATACGGGTCCATATACTCCAGATAAAAATTATGAAATAGGCTCCTGCAACCAAACGGGTGTGTCCCATTATTCTTTTACATCATGCAAAATAGTGTAGAATATTTACAATAATAAATCTTTTTAGATACTGCTTTGTAGAAATACACATATCAGACGATTGAAATATAATGATGCTTATATTTCACATCTTATTTTTGAGAGTTCTAATTATAGAGTTCTAAAATTCTAATATATTTACGGAAATATCTTTTACGAACTACTGCAGTATCTCTATTTGTTATCAATGTACATTTGATAATAAAATCGTTATCTCAGAGTTACATGATTTTACTATCAAATATACAACATATCTAAACTAAGGTATAGAAACACACTTCTCAGTATACGACATTATCATCCTTCTATACGTAACTATCACTATAACCTATCGTTTCCTATCTTCTCTAAATAGCGGAAATTTTGTACTCACTTAATTGTTTTCTTTAATGTTCCCGACGCTACATCGCTTGTACTAACTTCAAGCTGACGCGAATCATATCTAATCAGTAGCGTGTCCTGAAAACAAAAAGAATTTATCTTAACGTAACAAATAAACAATAAATAAACATGTTCTTTATTAAAATTAATCCCGAAGTAAACGTACAGCGTCAGCTATGCGGATCACAAAAGCCATCTGTTTACAAAGAGTTTCTAAATACTGCGCTTTGTTAACTTCTTCATCGATTATCACAAATGATAATAATTTTTCTTTTAATTCTTGAGTGTTACGCACCACAAGTGCAAATACTTTTTGGCATTCTGGAAGAAGAAAAAATAATTTAATCGCAAATCACGCAATTTATTTAAGAACTTTTATATATATATATATATATGTGTGTGTGTGTGTGTAATATAACTATTTTTTGTCTCACCATCAGTTTCACGTATGTCCACAACTTTTCTTATACTCGTTAACGACAGCATTTTAACATGCTTATATGGTTTTCCTTGATTTAGTTTAATTGACTGTAAGTTTGCACTAGGACTTTTCGAATTAAACGTCTTCGATCTTTTCTTGCATATTTCGAGAGTATCCGTAAATAGAAACAATACTAAATGATCACCTCGTCCACTAAGACCTTCAGTAACTTCCATGACATCACATTTACTAATAAACGATCTACGCGAAGAAACTAAATGCGGCGGGCAATTGTCAATTTCATTAAAAATATCGAATATTGCTAGTTGGCGTTCGGTTTTTCTCTTATTTTCATTTATATACGTCATAACTTTTTTAATACAGCTAAGAGAAGCTTCCAGAGCGTTATAGTCCGGATTACTTTTGTCGGTATGCTTAAGGATATCTAGAAAAAAAAAATTATAAAAGTTAATTGTTAGCGAGACTCAAAACTTGTTTATTTAATGACGAGACTATGAAGCATTAAAATTATTTCTTACCGTTTAGCAATAAACTGATACTAGGTAATCGTTGTATTGGTTTAATTAATAGTTCTTTCAAGCTTTGTCTGCCGCAGTCAGGTATCGTCTGACAATTTTTCAAAAACGCATGGAACCGTGGTTTATTTTGATCACATTCTTCTAGCATTTGCTTCGTATTTTCAAAGAAGTTGACATATGGAGGATATGCTTTAACCAAGTCCGGTTCAAATTTCAGAAATATTTTGCCGATGCTGATGTCCTCTGTCCAATTAGCGGCACTATAATGCAGTGCCTCCAACAATTGCTTATGAACGTCATAAATGGGTGGAAAATTACCAAATATAATTTTTACTTCTGTGCTATTTAATAATTCTTTTCCACTTTTTCCTATGAGATTTTCCAACGGCAATTTAAAAAGCTACAATCATAAAATGCAAACATAAAATATAACAAACAAATATTAAGCCAATTCTGTTTTTTAGAATGTAAAATTCTGTGTCGACGATGTTAGAAATCGGTCTGGAATTTCTGATTCGACTTCTCGAACTAAAAAGTTTGCACTGTAATAACTCTAGATAGTGCTGATCAAAAGTTACCTATTTCTAGTATCGTGGACGTAGATCTTAATGTACAACAAATATTTACCGTCATAATTGTATTGAGAATGCCCACATAATTAGATTCAGTTTCTACTAGTTCAAGAAACACTTTGTGACGTTTCGATAAATGTTCTTTAATACTATCTGTAGCAATAGTTTCTATGTCTGTAATAATCAATATAGTTAACGATGAATAATTTTATTATAATCTCAATGTATAAAACTACAATTAATTTATTAATCTATTAAAATGGCAAAAAAGATATACATATTAAAGTATGATCAGATGCATACCGTCCTGAAGTTGTTTCTCTGGACTTGCTGTATTATCTAAGAAGCTTCCACTGACGTTTGCTGGTGAATTTGCTCCGTACTGTAATAAATTAGATAATGGCTTGCTCAAATAGGGATGGTTCGGCAACGTCATACTCTGTTGACTGTCTCGCCTACCAGATGCAGTAGGAGACAGAACTGTTTCTAAATACTAAATAATAATTTATATATGTACATGAAATTTAAATGCATAAAGTTTTTAAATACGTAGAAAGATATTGTATGTATTACTGTTGTATACATTACTATTAACTTACATGTTCGAACAAATATTCATTCTCATCACATCTGGCCGCATTCTGAACCGACGTCCAAAACCAACCAGTTTTAACAATGAGAGCCGATTTTGATACCAAATGCGGTATTACACTTACATTAGACTCGTCAACAACCTGTGACATTAACAATTTTACTATTAGGTTTTTATCGTTATTTTATCAGATCGTAATAAATAACACAAGACAGAAATTACAACTGGATACAATACTATGTTGTAACATATCACATGTAAAATGTTAAAATAACATAAAGTACAATTTTTTCAGAGAATTAAATAACATAGAAGTGACAATCTTATAAATTGACACGCCATTATGTCACATTGATAATCGCAAATTTAGCAAAACACATAACCAAAGTGTTTATGATTGTTTTGCTAAATTTTATGTTAGAAAACTTTTTAAATAAGACTGCTCTTAAACAACATATAAACAAAACCAAATTTTTTGTTAAAAACAAACATCGTTTACGATCAGATCAATAAAAATAGGATTGTATATGTGGATGCACGTGTAATGTGATATTGTGCTTATTAACATTTCTAATGACAATCACAATTAGATGTAGACAGAGATGTAGACTAGGATAAACATGTTTACAGAAGTTCCAATTTTCATACATTTCAGAGATTATCTCATCTTATTAAATTTCGAAATAGAGGGTTATCTTTATCTACTTTGCTCCGCACAAAGCACAAGTATTTTACATACAATACGAAAAGGTAAACAGTAAGATTGATGATACAGATTAATTAACAAATACAGTAAAAACTTCTCTATGCGTATAATAATATTATCCCATACACCGTTTTTAACATCTTGTAAACAATGCGAGAAAGAAATTAGCGTGAAGTACCGTGGATAATGATTTATCTTCTTGAACCATCAAGTCCTCGTAAAGAGTCTTCGTGTTGTGTGATATAAATGGCGGATTGCAAGTTTTTCCATTAGATATGAAAGTGCTCTTTAATTCGTGTTTAGCGATTGCAGTTTGTGTAGATAGTGCGGGGAAAGACTTGGACAGGAATGTGCACTTTGTCTTAAAAAGAGTGTTTTCGGAAGGCGAGCAGTATGAATTGGTGAAAATGTCTTGCTCATCATCGGACAGTATCAGACGGGAAGGATCTTCCGAGAAATTAGATATGTGCGACTCAAACGAGTGTTTACGCCTTTCTCCGCGTGATGCATTGTGCAAAATTACATCGCTATATTGCTCATCACGATGTTTCCATATATTTGGAAACGAGCGCACTTTCAAAAATTTACATTTGTCAAGTTTTGCCATTTTATGAACAGATGTGCAAGAATTAGCTTTTTTCCACTTTATATATCGCTTTGGAATTACTTTTATTTTTGATGTGTTATTCTGTATGTAGTGAACATTTTTGCGATATTTCAGAGACACGGACTTATTACTTATTGATGACGTACAAACGTCGTGGAGATTATTCTTTTCAGAAGATACAGACGGTTTTAAATCTTTCGCTATTGTCGAAAACTGTGACGCGATATCATATTGAGAATATTCGTTATCAAATAAAGAATTGTCGGAGATATGGAATTTAACGTTTTTGTTGCTGATCATTGTTGATGTTGTCGGGATCGAACATTTCACACCGTGCGCGGAAAACGTAGATAAATTAGACGATTTGGTTAGGTCTAAACCGGAATCACTTTGCTCTGCAAAGTGATTAAATATGTGGCCAGATTTAATAACTGAAGTTTGTAAATCGCAATAATTGTCCTCCATACCAACAGCAGAATCTTTGCTGACGTTATAAGAAATCAGATCGCTGCAAGTATTGTGTTCTAGATCAACCGAAGTTGATAAAATATCTTTCGACAAAGAGAAGTTATCCTGAGATTTTGCAAAATGCATGCTATCGATGTTTGCAACGTCATTATTATTGCGATTATCGATGTTTGTTGTGTTACAAACTGCGTCCAAACAAGGATTATGAAGATAAGAGAGAATTGGTTTAAAGTTCATTGAGGAAAGAGGATATTGTTTGTGTGAATTCTTAAGATATGATAATCTCGCGTTGTTGCATTTCCTGTAGTAAGGATCAGGTACGTCTATCACCTACATCATGTTCATCATTTATGAAGTGCAGTATACACATGTGAGTTTGTGTGTGTACTCGTATATAGAATTTATAAATAAGTATTATTAAAATTGTGTACATATATATATATATATATAGTTTTGATTTCTTACTACGTGTGTACAATTTGGATCGTCAATCTCAGCAGGCTCACCACCCTGTTGTTCCAGAACCTCGTACATATGTCTTTTTTCTTCTTCGGGAAAACCAAAAAAACATATTTTTGTTTCATAAAACGGTTTCAGCTTATATGTTGCTATCTGTAATCAGAAATTTATATTTTTAATGAAAAGATCTTACGTGGCGCGTTAACAATAATTATAGATATTATTATCAACGTGTTGAAATAATTATGTCCAAGATATTACGTTACAAAAATATTAATACTCTCGTAGCAGTTATATTGTTATATTTAAGTGTGCTAATTACTGTATGCAAAGTCGAACACCAATGTTGAAAAACTTGGAAATTCATTTCCTAATATTTAGAAATTCCTTACCAATTCCTCATCAAACGCGTAACTGTAAACATCATCTCTGGCATTCCACAAAGCTACCACCCAGTCTGCTGACATGATGGGTAAACTAAATGTGTCAGCATATCTGTACTTTTCTCCGCCACAATGATTTGCAATAAGATGTGTTATTTTAGTTCCCATTTCCTTCCGGATGCTACCACCCATATTGAGAACCATAGCTGCTAACTTGCGCTGTTAGAAAATGTCAATCATGTTATATGAAAGTTTATACAAAAGTTTATACAAAATATTTTATCTAGAAAGAAAGAACAGAAAACACTGTGCGTAAATGTAAATAATAAACTAACCAATTCATCCTCTTTAGTTCGGAAACCGCTGAACACCACTACTGAACCTACCATGGCTTGTGTGTACATTGGTCTTTTCAGACTGGGCAGAGATTCTTTCTTTTCTGCCAGTTGCAGTAAAGCCGTAGGTCCCAGGATTCTGATAACACCAAAACAATTTATATAAATCACTTTATGAAACAAACATGTAGCTAATATAGCTGTAAAACAGTTTTTCAAAATTATAAACACGTCTGTTGCATACTTAATTTATCATATAATTTATAACAAGACCATGTTGATGTTTATACTAACCTATGAGCGCTTTTGCATAACGCGTCGTATTCAGGTCCTTCGAATTGTTTGAGCACGAAGTAAGTGTTGTAAGAAGTATCCTCGACATATTCTGTGCCGGTCTCAGAAGTAATTACTGGTACTTTAAAGTGTTGAGCAGCAGCACTCAGTGTAGGATCTTGATTAGCATCTCCTACTAAGCATATCCTTTTCTTCCTTGGTATAATTAATGCTATATTAAAAGAAATAATAACACATTTTTATCAATTTGTTCTGTGTGTTATTATAAATACTTTTCAACGTCTGCTCTAAATATAGTTTTACTCTTTTTGTATATATCATTACATAACATAAGCAATGTAGAAAAAGAAAAATCATTTTCTCTTTGCAGTTAATACGTAATTAAAATTTTGGACACGCATCATTATTGTCATTCTTTGATGAAATGACAAACACTCAGCAATATAAATATATGAATTTGGCAGACAAATACATATGGATATCATCAACAATTGCAAAAAAAATGTTGCTCATTATCTCAAATGAAAAAGAGCTAACTAATTGCAAGTCTTCACCGGCCAGTCGAAGAAAAGATTTGTTAGTGAAATGCTATTTTTAGTCGTGTTGGTGTTCTGTAAAGTTTAAAACGTTGCACAAAGTATATAGCCTCTATCTCGTATCATAGGCAAACGGGAAGTTTTGTATGTGTGCGTGTGTGGGTGTGTGTGTGTGTTACATCTGATACGGGCGATTCACGTGCTCCGCGCGAGATAATTAAAAACGAAAGTGTGAAAGACACGGAGAGAGGAACGGAGAAAGAGAGACGATACGCGGAGATAAACGGAAAAGGATGAACAAAACAGAAAAGAGAAGCAAAAACTTGAGCGAATACAGAGCGAGATTGTCGCATTGTCAATTTCGCAGGAGTCTCGTTTTTAAAAAGGATATTTCGTTACGGAGAATCTGTTTGTCTCTCACGTCAATTTTGAATGAAGAAGTCAAGGCCGTTTATACATGAGGAACCGAAAAAAAACGCGCAGGTCTTTTTTTTTTTGTTTTTTTCTTTTTTCTTCGGAACGCGCGCCAATAAGGATCGGCGTCTAATAAAAATAGAGCGAAGGATATCGTTATATACCGATTAGTGTGACGAGTCGCTGAAACATCTTATAGGACAAGATGCAAAAAAAAAAAAAAAAAAAATTGCGGCGGGCGAAAGTAAATACACTCCGTGCAATGCTCCCATTGCTTATTTTTTTCGTCACTTACCGATGTTGGAAAAAGAACACGGTTTGTGAGGAAAACATAGCTCGAAGTATCTCTTACAATCATATGTGTTGCGGATGTATGTACATATATTGGCGGTTTACAAAATTATACCGGAACGCGCATGAAAAGATAATTCTCGTGTGTGCAGCAACGAACACACAGGTAATTTGCTGTGTTTTTCTGACAACGCAGTGTTTCTCAAGTACGTTTCTTTCTACTGATAATGAGCAATCCTTCTGCTCATCTCGCAATTATGCGCGATGCGATAATAAATTACTTATCTTACTGATTACAATACAAATAAAAACCAGTCCGTCATACATATTACAATGAGACAAAATTAGAAGAGTATATATTTTTGCTTAAATAACAAAATGCACCAATGTATACATTATATAAGACCGTATTATGCTTATTACCAGTCTTTGACACAACGCCGTGTTTAAGAATTTCAATACTCTCTATCTCTCTAACTCGCGAGTTTAGTTTAAATTAATATATTCCGAGAGTATATAAAAGAAAACCCAATGATAAACATTTTCCTCCTCCGCGAGCGGGATATTCTTTTCCGCACAGCTGAAAACACGTGAGATATGCGAGTTTCTAAAATAATCAATCACTTTTGGAGCTTCGTGTTTCGGACGATTACCCTTGAAAGGAAATGACAAAGATTCGAAGGAAGGTAAAAGTCGAAAAACGGTCGTTTTTTCCGTTGAGTTTATTGTACCTGTTTGTACCTGCCTGTACCGTTTACACAGCACGTGCGTGTAAACGCAAATATGCGAACTTGAGGAAATTTTTGAAAATCGCACGGACACACGCTTTGTCAGCGTCCGCCAAAATACGCCAGACAGAACCGCCGTCCGCGGCACTTTATCCTCGTCATTTACGAGGATGTTGCGGATGATTTAATGCCGATAGATTTTTGCATACTTACTCTTGGTCGCCTCCGCACTATTTATATCGCCGATACGGCTGATACTGCCTCTTTGCTCGTCCATTACATGTGCTTCTCTGTATATCTTGCCGCGTAATCCTGTCGAGTGTACCTTCCCGTCTCCGACGCGCAACAACACTCTCCCGTCCCGTCGCCAAACATCTAAAATTTCTCGTCAAAGCGGCGACCGCACAATCAACACCTCTCCCGAGCCGAAGTCAGCATCAATAAACTCCACAACATCCGAACTGTATGCATTCGCGTTGAACGACAGTTATCAGCATCAGCGCCGCTGCATCGACGACGACGGTATCAGGAAGCAGTTTATCCTCGTTCTTCCTTCACCGAACCGTCGTGTACACCATTTTAACGTTAATCTCTCGCCGTCTCTCTCGCGCTCTCGTCGCGGTTTTATTTCGCTCGCACTCGCGCACGTGTTGTTTTGCGTGCGCGAGCGAATGTCACCGTGCGAAACACGTATCTTAATTGACCAATAAATATTTTGCCTCTCTAAAATGTTCAAAAATTGCCGAAGAATTCGGGAGATAATTATTTACGATAAAACCTAGTGCCAGTTTTTTATTATCTTGAATAAGTTTTATCCCCAACTCGATAGAACTAACCAATCGCAATGAATCGACTCGATAACGCGATTGGCCAATTTCGGTTGGTAATCGTGGCGTTGGCCATCGATGGCTCTAAGAAGTTTCAAACAAATTGTTGTTACCAGACCTGAATTCAATAATTCGAAGTTAGCTGCCGAATTTAAATATTTGAAAATTTGTTCGTCTTCCCCTTCTTTTTTTTTTTTATCGCGAATCTTCTTCCGCGATGAATAATCGACCTTTTGTCGAATCATATTTTTTCTGGTAACTTCTTATTATTCGAGCATCTCGGAAACGAGAGCATTGGACGATGCGATTTCGACGGAAGTAAATACGAAGCGAAATAAAAAAAAACACACACACACGTGTTAACACATAATATTAATAAGGAAAGCTCTTTTCCTCTTGCGACATTTGTTTGAAAACGTAATGTTAAAATGTGATTTGCGTTTTATGTCATCAAGAATTTCGATAAAGTTAATACATGATAAAATTACAGGTAAGACATCGCGCACAAAACGTAGAATTATGGATCCTGAGGAGTTCATGAATATTCAATTGGACAAACCATTGCCGGAGGCGATGAAGGTAAACAATAATGTTTGTGTTATCATCAACGCTTAATTTTTCTTTCTATACATGTGCAATTTTTGTTAAAACTAACACGTAGGTATATTTAATTTATTATTTTTGTCAGAAATATGTAACAAGTATTTGCCACACGTATACGTTGTGCATTTTAATTTTGCAGTATGAATGTTTGTTTTTTAAATATTGCTTGTAGAATGAAGAACAACTGCGAAAGCATACTTTGAACGCTAACCTAGAAAAGAAACCCATAGACAGATCGCTTCACATTCTTACGTAAGTATACAAAAACATTTGTGAAGAATCGACGTGTGAATTTTTTTTCTCAATACGTCGAATCTCGACGCATCGGATTGCGCGATGACGCGATCACGTTAGAGTTAGATCATCTTTCTCGCGCACGAATTACGCAACAGCATCCTCTCCTCGGCGTTCCCTCTTGTGTGCCTCGCGGCGTGCCGCAGGATGCGTCATGTATATCTTTTCACCACCCCGTATGTGAGTCTCCAACTTGCGCACGGTCGTGTCGGGTCGGCGTGATTCGGTCGTGCTCGCACGTACGACGGCGAATTAAAATACAATCGATCGCGTGCAAAATTGGAATTTACTCGAGTGGTTGTCATTCGTGTTTTCGCGTGTGTCATCCCCTGCGACATGGGAGCGCGGATGACATCTATGTAGGGAAAACAGCACGGATTATAGCAACGACGATCGTGCCGCTCATTTGCTGACTGAGGTATCAATGAATAAGATGCACCTGAAAAATGTTACAAGAGGGAGATGAAGCCCCGTACGAGTTCACATCCGATCCGTGAGTAGTCGAGAGTGCGTGTGTGTGTGTGTGTGTGTAATACAACGTGATTTTTGTTGTTGCGACACATTTGTTGTTGATCACAGCAATTGATCGCATTTTTATTCTCGCGATTGAATTCAGTTTGTTACCCTTATTACGATCCCCACATGTCTTGCACGCGTTCCTAAAAATAACTTGCTATCGTTCAAGAAGCGCACTGTTCTAAGCTGTCATAGTAAACGTGCTCTAATTATAGTTCTTTAAATCACATACCCATACAAGTATGTGCATAATTGACATCGGCCAAGATCGTTAAACAATCTTGAAATATTAGGTTAGCTTATACTGTGTTTCCATTAAATTACAAGCTATTAAACTAAAAGATGCTAGCGTTGCATCTTTACAAGTGATGTGATTGTTTGCGCAAATATAAGAAGAATGAAATATCATTTTGATCTCAGAACAGATCAATTATGTTTTAATTTTTACTTTTAAAATGATAACACGTGACACCGTTTTGTTTTTCAGAAAGGGAGATGAAATTCAGAAACTTAGTGTTATACAAAATCTACCAAGTCTTCTAGCTACAGACACGCAATCATGTATGTCTCGAGTGGTACCTAAGATGCAGCAATCTCTGGCTACTGCATCCACAGAATTTCACATAGCAGCATCATCTACATTTAAAACAATTTTAGAGCAAAAGCTTGTCAGCCATAATGTTTTTAGTCAGACATTCCTTCAAAGTATATTAAATTCTCTAGGAAGCCGTGACCCAGGTAAATATTTTTACTTACAAAATGATGATTACTTTAGAATACAATGCTATATAGCAACAATTAGATATGTTTCTGGTGCCTGTGTTAATTTCTAACTTTCATTATATGTGTGTCAATGTTAAAGTTATCTGTCATGCATGGTTGGAGACCTTGCTGGATGTGATAGAGTTACTGCCGGTAGATGTCATAAGAACACAGGTAAGGATGGTATACAAGGAAATAAAATAAAAAATATATAGACATTGATCTAAGATATTAAGTTGTTATGCAACTTTATTAATAACAAATAGATACATTTATTAATAAACATTGAATAAACAAAAATTATTTTCATGCAGATTCTTCCACTGACTATAAGTAAAGGACAACTGTCACAGCCTATCTACTCTAGAATAATATGCAGTAGGTTGTTGGGCAAGATTTGTACACGATTTGATGCTGCCATGTGAGTATATTTAAATTATATACATATTTATATATATAATACACACATACACACACATGTACATATCTTTTAGGATTTTGTCTTAATAAAATGCACATCTTTATGAAATAGCTTATTTTAAATTTATCCTCTTTTTTAGAGTTTACTGTTATTAAACATTTTTGTTAGGATACAGAAAGAAGTTCTACCAACAGTATACTCTCTTTGTCAAGATGTAAGTAGTGAAGTGCGAACTAGTATCTGCCTACAACTGCGTTTCGTTGCTGAAGGCCTTGGTGCTGAATCTATAAAACCTGCTTTACTACCATCTCTCGTAGAATTAGCAAGTGATGAAGAGAATAACGTAAGATATGCCTCTGTACAGACAATAGTGTATTTACTACCTCATCTTCAGGAAGGTAAGTTTTATAAGCAGTTTTGAAAATTGTTTCAAATATATATAATTGTGTGAATTGAAATATAAATTGTATTCACAGATACAATAAAAACTATAATAGCACCACTTGTTAAAAAACTATGCGAAACTGCAGCTAAATCGGATGACAATGTGATATGTATAATAGCTCAGGAGTTCGGAAAACTCATGCTTGGCCTACAGAGTAAGAGATCATTTTAGTGCATCTTTATGTTGATGTTATACTGCACATGTGTCATTTATATGACAACAGTTAATAGTTATTACGTAAAACCATTAAATAAAACCTAATTAAGTAAAACCATTAAATGCAACTTTTTAGAATGCTTAACGCTCTCAGAGAAAACATGGTTCTTGAAGTATTTTCAACAACTTGCACAAATGGGAGTGCCATCCTTGAAAAAAGAGAAGCCACAGTTTACGTTTGTGAGTACTTGTCTATAATTAAAACAGAAAATTTATGAAGAACAAGCCGCGCGAATGCCATGAATACTTGATGCAATATTATTTTATTAATTCTTTTCTAATGTTACAGATCAGCAGCAGTTCTACACAAGATGAAAAACATATTGATTGCAGAAAACATTGTGCATTTAATTTACCTGCAATGTTTGCTTTTGTTTCTCCAGAAGACGTAGATGCTTTACTTACAACACTTGACGCATTGGGAAGTGATCATTTTTACATGGTACGGAAGACTGTTGCATATGGGATTCACGAAGTAAGATCAACACACGCGTTTTTGCCAAGATGTAATAATAACACAATAATGTGTATATTATAAAATAATATATACTTTTCGTAGATAGCGAAGGTTTTAGGACCGAAGTGCGTACGAATAAAACAAACTTTAATTAACTTATTGAAAGATGATTCTGAGGAAGTGCTCCAAGGTTTAATTCCCAATATAGGATTAACACTAGAATATTTAGTTGAGACCCAAATTATTGGACCAGATAAATCAGTAATTAACATTTTTTTATATTACACAGTTTGTAAAATTCAAAATAATTTTAGTTTTAAAATATCTCATTGTTTATTACAGGATTATGTTATCTCAGCCGAAATTAGTAAAGCTTTATTAAAATGTGAAGCTGAAATAGCAAATACGCATAATTGGAGATTGGCATCTTTAATGCACGCGCAGCTAGAGATTTTACCAAAATGTTTTTCCAGTGACTTCATATACACATATTTTGTTCCAATGGCTTTTTCCAGAATTTTGCACGCGGTGAGTTTATTATAATCTTCTTTTATGTAAAAAAGTTCACAGAGGATTTTGCTCAGTTTTTAATAATTTTAACTTTATAATTTCTATTTTTCTATACGTTTTATAGCGACCAATACCAGTGCGTCTTGCTGCAGGAACACTTTTTCTTATCCTTCTACGATATAACGCAAAACCTATACAAAGAGCAGAAATGCGTAATAGGATTTTCACAAATGTAGCCAATAGTCCTGATTGTTATGTGAGAATGATGTTTGTTCGTATAATGGTTGAGGCATTGGAAATCTTTTCTTCTGTATATTTTAAAGAACATTTTTTCAACGTTTTACTGAATCTGGCTGAAGATCCGGTGGCTAATATAAGAATGAAAGTGGTATCTTTACTGCCTCAGTTGAAAAGTCAACTGTGGATACCAACTGATAAGAAATTGCTAACATCATTAGAATCGGTTGTGAGGCACTTGGTTACCAATGAGAAAGACAGAGATGTACTGTTTATTCTCAAAAATGTAAAGCAGAAGTTAGAGGAAATAGATGTCAAATATGAAGGTCAAAGTGTAAGTAACTTTATACTAAAAGATATAAAGACATGGGAAATCTATTTTTCTGAATACGATATTTTAAACAGATAACAACAAAGATCACCAAACAAGATATAGAAGATGCAAGAAAATTGGAAGAAGAAAAAAAATTAGCAGGTATAAGTGCGGACAAGTTAGCAACTGGATATTCAGTAAAAAAAGGTATTTTTAAATTTGTACGATGAAAATTATATCATTAAGAAAAATAAAAGAATTGCTTGCTAAAGAATTGAATAATATGTTTTTGTTTCTAGGGTGGACACGAGGTGATAGCAGTACGAAGGGATTGTAAGTTTGACTTGCAAATAACATAACAGTTTATTATTAGATAACAACAGAATAGCATAAATATGTGCTTGCTTTTTACGTAAATCATTTATTGTGTGTATACAATTAGTTNTCATTAAAAAATAGGATAATGCAACTTATGTTTCAGATCAAAGTCAAAAGGTGAGCATTCAGTGGAAAATAACGAACAGCCGTACGAAACAAAACGTTTATTAACGAAATGTAAGCAATTTAAAATAATTTTTTAATAATAACAGAAGTTGAGAAGCGGAAATTTGTGCCCAAGTAATCCTGTCGTCTGTGTTGCACACCAAGCCATTTTTTAAAGTATAGATCTTTTTAATTTGTCTCTCATTAAGAACAGGAATTAGTTAAAACAAATTTTGTCTAGTATAACTCTAACGGTTAATCAAATAAAAATGAGAAATTAGAAAAAGTTGCTAATTGATAAATATTCGTTATTCTCGTGTTTTAAATAAAATAATATTTTGCAGATGGAGTTGTATTCCCGCGAAATCAATCGACTGAAACATTGAAAACCAGGTAAGCAAAATTAAAAAAAGAAATACTTGAAAAACAGTAAGAAAAACTGTAATGTACAAAGATAAATAAGGTGTTTTATATGTGCTGAAATTATATATATAAAAAATATGATAATAACGAACGTGTTTATGTATAACTGAAATTAATATTTCTATAATTTAACGTTCTCATTCTTTTATTAACTTTAATTGAAATTGCAAATTATATGTCCACTTTGTCTAACAGAATTCCACTAACAAATTCTTGGGAAAGAATAGGGTCTTTCAACTCGCATACTAACACGTCGCATCTTAACTTTGAGAATGGATCGTATAGTGATTATGTCGCGCAACAATCACAATGTAGCTGTTCGAAATTAGCAGTATTCCAGGCTCTTCTGACATTGCCGGATGTGTGCGAACAAGAACAAAAAAGCGAGGCTTTTCAATATCAGTCGTATCACAACGTCGACGATGATTATACGAAGCTTAGAAAACTTCCGACCCAAGCAAATGAATATAACTCTTCAGCTGTTGCCAACTCTTTCCTTTTATCGTTCGTAAAAGACAACAAGCAAGAACCGCACTCTTTACTAACACGAGATCATTCGCGTGAATTGCTTACTAACACTAGTAAGGACAGAGCGCCGAATTTTGCCGCTCTGAGGGCATTAACGAGCGCAGCTCACTATAACTCTTGTTGGGCTTTTAGCTCCATGCCAGAAATGCCTGTGATGCAGTCCGACGACGAATTTCTAGTCGACGCTGGTATCAGAATACCGACGCAATTCTCTGGTTCCCAAACCCCGTCTAAGATTCCGCACTTGCAAGACTTTATCGCCGCAAGAAGACGACCAAACACAACACAGGTTCGGCCTCGAAGTCGGCCTAGGAGCAGCATGAGTTTCGATAAGGGAAAGTTTAAGAGATATTCTTCTGTTGAATACGAGGATTGCGTGAGGCGTAGGAGTGAGAACGAGTCGTCGTCGAGAAGCACGTCGTTAGATTACGAAGAAGGCTTGCGACATTTTAACATGCTAAAAGAAAATCTGAGTGATCAACGATTATTGAAGACTGATGCGAGAACTAAAAGATATTCCGCGCCACATGGGAGAACTAGATTCGGATGGGACGCCGGTCAAGACAGATCTTTAGATGATAAAGTAAAGAGAAATTCTTTGATATTTGATAAAGACAAATTGAAGCTCACTAGTACCAAGTGCACGTTGGATCGAACCAAACGTCATTCCATGAATTTTAGTATGAAGCTTCCCGATTCTAAAGAAATGAAGCAAAATGTGAAACGTCACAGTCTAGAAGATCACACAACTGTACGCCGGGCAATAAAGGGATACTTTTCGACATTGGACGTAAATCATAATCAGGGTCTTAGCAAAATTCCCCTTAGAAACATCGGACCTCGTAGCAGAACCGCGCCCGCAACCAGAGCATCTAGCCCAGTACATATGGAAACGCGATTGAGATTTGACATTCGGAACTGTGATGAGTCTCAAAGTTCCACTGGCGATAGGCAGTTAAATAGACTTAGCTCGAGCTATGAGGAGGTTGATAAATTATGTAGGATGCTATTACATTCGTAAACGCCACAGGTAGATAACACGGAAGAAACACCGGGAAGTAGAGAGGAAATATCCTCGTTCGCTTGTTATTAATGAGAAAAATTTATGAAATGTATATTGTTACATGCATTGCATCGTTTTTACCACTTTTTCATTAGATTTACTGGTCATACTAAACGACAATATTTTCGTACGCAGATATACTCTTTTTGTTAATATTACAACAACAGTAAATTAATTTATTACTTAACGTCTTTAATATCTTTTCATGTATTTATCTCTCTCACGAATGAATACATAAGTGTAGAACATTTTAGTTTGATATTATGCAACTCTCTTTAATTTTTCGGCATTGCAATATGTGTAACATATAGCAGTTTTATATACAATCGTTACATATAACAGCTTTTATTTGAACTATATATAAAGTTATACACGATCTTGATAGTATCAGTCTAAAATCTAAAGTCACATATCTTTAACATAGAGTTTTATCGATAATTTATTTTGTGAGAACACAATTTTTAAGAATTCATCGATCTTGTAAATGCCAAATCAACAAGAGGGCACGGTAGTTTACTCATAACGCCGCGTCAAATTTAAGTTTTTTAAGAACGTATACAAGTTTTACTCACACAAATTTCGACACTTATAAGATTAAGTTTATACAATCTACTGGCTTTATATCTATATGAATTACTCGCATATCGAATTTAGTATTGCTTCTTCAATTCATCAAAAACAGGGTATATTTTTTATAATTCTACCGAGTGACACAACAATTTTTCTACATCGTGCCTTTTCTATAATAGTAGTCTGCATTATTTATTTACTACAAATGTCTAAAAATTTTCGGTTTTTTTGAATTAATAACTGCTTATATATTTCCTTTCTTACGTGGAATTAATATAATAATAACAAATATTTAAAAAACGATTTTCTCCATATTTTATTTAATTAGTTAATTAATTTGTGTAAACCTGAATATATAATTAGCTAAATAAATAACTTCATCAAATGATTGGCGTGCACAAAACAGAAAGAAGTACATTTTGTTAAGAATATTTTTTGTTATATATATGATACACAATATTTACTGCATGCCTGTGAAATGGCTCTATGTACTTATAAACACAACGAATATATTCAATTTACTATTGTTTTTTTTTTTTTTTTTTTTTAATAGTTTATTGAATAAAATATATTTGATAAAGATAAATATTTTTATATTGCAGAAAAAGGCATTTGTTTTAAAAGATTACTTTTAGATTTGCGAGAAATATCAATTGAAAAAAAACCGTGGAAATATTTTATTATCAGTTTATATAACAAATCAGTTTATATACAACAAATTTATAAAATGCTTACACATATTTGATAATTTTGGCCTCCATCATAAAACTACGCCATCAATTCTATTTCTTAATAGCATCAAAATCTTTGTTATTGATAAACTACATTATTTTAGAGTTTAGAACAACAACAAATATAGACTTATAGTATTAGAACAAGTACTAGGTCTAGTCTGCATAGTCTATGAAAAATCTCTGAAGAAGTATAGTCATGATTTGAGAAGATTTATAATTGTTGTTTTTTTTGGTTTTAGTTGAAAAGAAAGACTTACGTAATTATAATTTACATTAAAAAGTGCATTTAAGCTTTAGTTATAAAAATTGTATATTTCAATTGTTTATTAATTTAGTTGCGGCTGTTGTTAATTATGTTTACGTTTTATGTATAATATTACTTATGTACAAGATAAATAAAAGACTTTTTGAGGAGGAAATAATAACTAACATATTTTAATAAGACAGCGTATTTGTTGTACAGAATTTATAAACATGAATACGGATGTGTTAGGATCAGTAAAACTAGTATAATAAAAATTTAATATTAAATCAGATTAATTAGAAGACAAGAGAGAAAGGTACAAAATGCGTTACGTGACATTGAAAGATTATGTAAACGTAGATTTATAAGTTTAAATGCTTAGTAAATATAAATATACCTCAAATTATGACTATATTTCTAGATATATATTTTAATCTTCTAATGTTTTTATTCTCGTGAAAAAATTGTAACTGCAGTGTAGCATGTTACAAATTCTTTGTCACTTTTTATGTTCTGCTGCTGTTACTAGTTTTTATCAAAACTATATATAAAAAACTAGTTTAACAAAATGTTGTAAGAGAGTGAGAAACTTGTAAGTTTTTTAAATAGATAAATACTATATTATAATATATATTGCAAAAATATAAATATTAATTGAACTTTTAGAGATATATCTGGTCAAAAACTTATAGAATGTTTTAAGCCAAAGAGAATTGTTAACAAATGATGATATACAAAGTTTCTCAAAGGCATTACATTTATATGTTTGTACATTCAAGATGTCTTAAAAAAGGTATATAATTGAGTGTTAATATTGTTTCCTTCAAGAAAAGAGATCTTAATTATTTGTACCTTTTTTAATATATTTTGTGTGTACATGTATTACGTGAGCTTTAGAGCAAGTGCCATTAAATTGATTAAAAAAAGCTTAGTACATTATAGAAGAAAAGCCCACTCTCGAAATGTGTCCTGAAGAATAACAAATATGAATTTTGTAAAGCGTTTTATATTAGTTTGTATATTTTTAATCGGTTTAGCCATATGCTATTTGATTGTTGTACGTACAAAGGCCTTTTATTTTTATGCTTTCATGTTTTCTCATGTGAATATCTCTTCAGGAGATATATAAGATTTGTAGCTATAGCCATATTAGCTATATATATTACGAGATCTGTTAAATAAAATCTCCCGCAAGAAGTGAAGCCGACAGTTCGAAGTGAATAACTTAGTTTACGTAAACATATCTGATGTTATATATTGCGCATCTTTTACATATTGATATATATTTTTTTTTTTCGTACAACTAGGTATAGCGACGGCTTGTATAATCCAATTAAATTTAGATAATAGTGTATATAATAAGAGATATGCCGACGATTGCATAGAACACCAAATAATAATACGCGTATTATTCTTATGCTTAGAATAGAAAAATATTTTTTGCAATCTAGTTTTTTCGCGCTCCAGCTCCTCGTTGTAATCTACTTCTATGTAAACAAACACACAGTCACTGTTTTAGACGAAATTTTCATATATTAAGAAATTTACGATTTAGAGATCAATATATATATATATTTAGATATTATATATATACATATAACACAATATATTAGAAACTTATATGTAGGAACTTTATGGCATAAAGAAAAAGAAGTTAATATTATATTTGGATAGTGGAAGGATCAAACTCTGTGTATGGATAATGTGAGATTCTGTCTTTAATCCGCTTAAATGCTGCTATTTATTTTTGTACAAATATATAAAGATATACCTTAACGTTTGTGCCAGAAAGTAAGAAACAAAGAATATATAATTTATAATAAAAGTTGATGCATTGTGTCTCTATTAGTTCTACGAATACAGAAGAGCAATTTAAATTTTTTTATCATTAAAAATAAAACGTGAAGTATATAGTAATTTTTACGTATATGTAAATTTTTTTGTTTTTATAAACATTATCATATGTGTTTTATATGATTGCTAAACACTCTATTGTGGTTTTTCTTTTCAACAAGATTGCTCTACTGTTTATCTAATTAATCGCGGAAGTTGTCTTATTTTTTTCAAGTAGTAGTATATATTCTGCAGTAGAAATGGTAAACTGTGATTACAAAAAAAACTTATTTAATAACAAAAAGAAAGATATTCAAGTATGAATTAACGAAATTACATGTGGAATCGAACTTTGCGAAACGATATTTTTATTACTTATACTACTCCTATGAAAATGAGAAATATCTGACATATTGTATTTTTGTGAAGTATATCTGTAATAAAAATATAGTTAAAATATATCTATATATTATAAAACTGCGAGAAAAATAAAGATTGGAACTATAGATTATTAACATTGTTAACGTCATTGTGAACACGCTTTAATATGTTATATAATGCCTATTAATAAATCAAACAACTTGTTGAGTATTTAATTGACAGCATATATGTTTTTTTCTAAGTGTTAGTTTATCGAAGATTCTGGGAAAATAATACAAGAATATAAAGTTATTTTTCAAATTCTTTATTTCTTCTACTTTCTTAAGTAAATCGATTGATGATTTCAACTACGTAGTATATATATATATATATAATTTATGGCGCGCTATAATAAATTAATCAATTTTTTTCATCCTTATTCTCTTATCAATGATTACAAAAATTCGGAGTAAATAATTTTTATTTTTTCATGAAATGCGTTTTAGGACCTATGTATATGTATATTTATATATGTATATAAGCTCTCCATTAGTCATTACTTAATATTAATATTTTATATTCTTGCGGGATGGGCCTAGTGATAATATATTTCGTTATATTAAAATTTCAGAAAATAAAGAAGGTCTTTATATACTTTTCAATCTCTTGACAACAAAGTTAAAGTCTCACCTGCCATTTGAAAGCGCATTTTAGAATACTGTGCTTGTGTGTTCTACATATCATGTCGATCTCTTTTTCTTCCTCTGTGTGTATGTGTGTGTGTGTGTGTGTATAAATTACATTTAAAAGTGTATACAAATAGCACAGTTAATAATTGATCAAAGGAATGTTGAGATCATATTGTTTTTGACTGAAAAAAATGTATAAGGAAGGATTTTTTAAGTAAAATTTTAAAGCCTCTATACACACGAAAAGGAGGAGTTTTAATATAGCCTAGATAAGAGAATAAAAGAGATCTTGGTTATTAGTATACACTTTTTCAAAATTCTGTATATATAGAAAGGGAGAAATTATAGCTTTTGATGGACGATTTTTTCCCCTTAACTTATGTAAAGTTTCTCTAAATATGATTTCTTTTTTGTTTCTCGTGACAAACAGGTGGTCAGACACATAGTGCAAAAGCACTTTGACAGTTCTCTCGTGTTACGTGTAAACACGAAGGAAATTTCACTCTAAAACAGATTGTCAAAGGAAAGATATTTTGTTTACTTTTTTTTGGACATGTGATTGTATCACTCTTGTGATGAATTCAGTCATTTTTCTAATTGTAAATATATATTATCGTATGCGCAAAATGAGATCACTTAAAACGAAACAAATTTGTATAAAGACAATTTTTTATATAAAAAGTTACATATCGAAGATTGGAATGCTTCGCGCGCGAGTATATTGGCTGCACTTCACAAAACAGTTTTTTTCATTAGCGTAATAGGTAGCCAATTTTAACGTCAGATATTAATATACCACAAGAGAATTGTATACAATAAAAAGCGGGATGTGTGCAAATAACGAAATTTAAGAACACGTTAACATTACGTATTCGTTATCATGATGATCATATAATGTTTCGGAAATATATATATATGTATATAAAGTGGATTACTACGCGTATTCTCGATACATTTATAAAAAGTATTCACAGAATAAATAAATCATTGTTGTTTTTTTTTGTAATATAAAATTGTTCGGAGACATTTTGAGCGCATTTCATCGTAATACGTATTATGTACAATTGAAATCCGCTTTCACACTGACGTCACTCTCTCGAATCACAAAATAAAAAATTTCATATACTATAGGCTACGCTATATATATGTACATTGATTATGAATAGAGCATTGATAATACCCTTCGAGACTTATTTCTAATTTAATATATAATGTTCAATATATTATTAGTAAATTTTTAGATATGATTTTTCGTAGCTTAAAAGCTAGCACATGTGCCGTTTTTCTTTCTTTTCCTTTTTTTTATAAAGTCATTTAATTTAATTTCCCGATGTTTTTCCCCTCTCGAAAATTGTTCAAAAAGCAGCAATTGTGAGATATGACAATCGAAAAAACGTAGTTCTAACATTAATCAATTAGTGTGCGTGTACATTACAATATAGTGCTCGTACAGAAACTAATAAATCTTTGGTTCGTAATCGTAATTAAACTAGAAGAGCATTTCTCTAGAAAGAAATACATCAATGGACATGTGCTTAATTTTTAGGCTATGTGCGTAATATACCTATATTTCTTTTGCAATAAAAATATATCATAACTACAATACAGTACTATTCCTGACTAGCATGTGTGTTTATACGAATGACTTCCTACTTCACGCAAATGCGATGTATCAAAACAATTATCGCTGATACGAAGACCGCAAAAAATCAAAGATCATCACTTGTGCATAAAGTAGATTTACGTAAGAAAATTTTGCATTCAACACTTTTTCGTGCACAAATGCATGCGTACAATTTCCGCTTTTGTTAATCGTGTATATAAATACGTGTGCATACGCAAATGCATACATGCAGTTCGTGAGGGGGGTACAAGTGACGGTTCTATCTTTTTTTATGCGTGAATATATTTTTAAAGTTATTATAATATCTCTGGACTGTAAAAATCCAGATAAAGAGAAATATATATATATATATATTATATATATGTTCAACTGTGTTTCATGTGTATCATTATCATTATATTTGCGTAAAGTATTTAATAGAACAATATGTATGCATATTTGTCGTAATTCAATGTCTTCGCATATCACTTTCTATAAATCATTCTTTGTATACAGTATTTTTTTTTTTTTTATTAAGGCTTCTACTGTCTATTTGATATAATTAAGCTATTGAATCATTTTTACACACTTTAAGCAACACCTCCTCTCTCAAGAAAAGAACATCTTTGTTTGCGATTTTGGTGTTACATAGGCCATTATAGGCGATGCTAGATATATTTTGTTTGTTTGAATAAGATGCTTAGACAGAGAGAGAGAAAAAAACAACTGAAAATATTTCATACGTAATCAAATTCGAAGTCTGCACGTAGGCCCCTGTACATGTATTTCTCATTACATTCTCTCTAGCGCGCTGTATATATTCTTCCTACCGCTCGCGTTACACCAATTATTTCTCTCAGTCTTGTAATAATACTACTTTTAAAATACTTTTATAATTCATATAAAATCAATTTGCACGTGTCTATATATTTATGAGAGAACACTATGTATCGTCGATCTAAAATAATGCGTATTGCAATAGACTCTTGTATGGATTTTTTTTTTCTTTTTTTTTTTTTTTTTTTAATGATATTACAACAGTGTACTTTGTACACATGGAACACAAGTAGACAAAGTAGATGTGTTTTAAAATATACAAAATAGTTTTTGTACGAAACAGCATTGTGTGTACAAGTTTTGGCCTAATGGAAAACAATTCCATATGTTAGTTAATGAGAAATGATGTAACATAAGATGCGATAAGAATACAGCAGCAGGACAACTTTACACCACACTAAAGAACTTTTTAAATGACGTCTAAAATGTCTAAGAAGAATGTAAAAATAATTCACTAATTATTCCGTTACTTTTAGGAGACAAAACGTTGAAATCTCTTTTGTATTGTGGCACAAAGCTATTAATGCTGATGCAATCCATAACTCATCTTACAATACGTATTGTCCTGCAAATTGTTTTCAATGCTTACAAAGTTTCATTGATTATTATTGATAGCAACAACCTTTTATATTCGTGATTCTTGATATAATAACCGGTAATTTGATTATTTGCTAGATAGCGTAATGCGTAATATAAAACAGAGAGAATTTTGTGTGTATTAAGTATATCTCGGAAATAATCAATAGATCCATCTTACAAATGTATAATCTACTATGACTCTAAGTTTTTTTATTATTGCGTTTAATATCACTATTACACTAACTTTCTTAGCATGATATAGTCACTGTGTATGTGCAATATACAGGGATTATATTCCTTCTTATGAACTTGTAATCTCTTCTTTAGAAAGAGAGAGTAAAAACTTTTAAAAGTCAAAAAGAGAATACGGAAAACCACAAAGATATAAATATGCTCGTGTATGCACACACGTTAAATAATAAAAAAAATAGTAGAAGTAGCGTGTATATATATATATATATAAATTTCAGTATATATATAAATTTAAACTCTTAAAATAATCGTTGTAAGCATATTATCTAATCCGATATATAGTTCATTTATGTAAGTCTGGATGAGTGTGTGTTTATATGTATATATTTGTACATAAATATATTAATATATTAAATATAAAAAAACATGCCACCCCATTAAAAACTGAAAATAAATATTTTTGGTAAAAACTTCGTGGAAATGTGTGTATATATAGCACGCACTAATCACAATGAAAGAATTAAATATATGAACTATGTTTAAGTACATAATGCAATAACAACTGAAATAGAAATAGTTAAAAAAAAACAAACAAATAGAAATAATTGTATATAGTTATGTCACTACACGCCTACGCGTATCTAATTATAAATAAAGCGAGATCGAAAGGTATAAGAAAAAAAAAGAAGATATATTTATCTGCGACACGATACAGCATGTATCGTAAATAAAAATCGGAAACGTATCATTGAGAAATATCAAAATTTCTGAAATATCTAGATTTTTACATTGTTTCGTACACTTCGTTTCTTTACTATCTATATATAATACCACTCTTGATTGCCTAGAGACTATGGTATTTGCCATATGCCATCTCATTAGAAAGAAGACCGTAAAAGGCTGCAATATTTTTATTCTTAATCGTTAGAAAGTAACTTGTATAAGTGTGAAAACCCTGTGAATGCTATGCGACTGACTATGCTCAGCGCACTTTTTGGTTGTACAGAATATATGGATAGGTAATATCTAACCAGTACAGACAAACGATCTTTTATAATTTTGTATTTTCCAAATACGAGTTCTCAAAACTTCATAGCACGGACAATCGACTAGGTCGATCGCACGCGTTTTTCTTGCTTTACCAATTTCTCACATTGGAATTAATTTTGCGTAATGTTAACTTCTAAAAATTTTCGATACGTTTCCAGTTTCCGAAGAGTAGACAAAAAAAAGTGCGATCTAATATTTTCTCAATTTAAAATTTTTTTAAACAGATAAGTACGCTATTGCGATTCTGTGTTTTTTACACCCTGACATTTCTTTCATTAATCCATAAAATTTCAAGAACTCCGACTTGAAATTCTAAGAGTTATTATAACAGTTCATTCATTTTTTTCCCAAAGATGATTGTGTGTTGTGTACACACATAATAGTCTATATAGAAAAGTACATACTCATACAAAATAAAAAAGTATTTAAAAAACGATACACTCATATAAAGTATACGATGTATATCTTTTACTCTAGGGCAGGATTCTTACTATACAAACTATTTAGTTTTCTTATTGAGCATATTTTAGAAATTGTTTGAGTCGTTGTAGGAAGTGTTTGATTACTGACGTTATTTCGACTATACGCTAGTACCTAGTAAATTTCTTTTTTTCTCTCTACATTTTTTTATTTTTTTTTTTATTTTTTTTTTTATTTTTTTTTTTGATTACGATTGTGCTCTTTAAAGGAAGACTTCACGAAAACATCAATAAAAACAAACGTTCGAAATTTGGATTAAAGAGCGTTTCTCTGTTGTTCTTAGAATTATAAACTTTTTGATTATATCTAATACGGTCATTTGGCATGCTATACTACGATATTGGTACGTGTCGGACGACAGGTATTTCGAAAGTATGTAGCCCCAGATATCCGCGTATAGTGTAAATAGTCACAATGCCCCAATTATATAAATTTCTACCGTGAATACTCTTACCCATCTTGCTTGGAATTCCTAGGAACTTCAAGGTTTTTTTGTTTTTTGTTTTTTTTTTTTTTTAACTCTTTCCCGGACAATTTTATTTACGTTTAAGCTTCCTATAAAAAGGAAAACGTAAAATTATATTAAACGTAATATTATATTGCAAGTGTTACAGAAATTCTTTAATCCAAACATAATTTTATCCCACATTATACGCTGTCGTACTTACTTCAGGGAATAGAAAGTGCTCACGAGTAGGTTGTGGTTGTTCAAAAGGTGAACTACTCATGTAACCAGGTGACGGTGACTCGCTCTTTTCTAGCACTGGGGTGATATTCGCGTAATTAGCAGATGCCGTAGTGAGAATCCGTCCCTGCTCTACCAGAATACTTCGATCAATCTTATAGTATTCTTTCCCGCTACGAGGTCGAAGGGTCGTTGCTACTGCTCTACCTCCTAGTCTGTGTGAACATGCGTAATGTTTTCTTAATGTAAATCAAGACACGAGGAAGAAAGAGGACAGTAGTAAAACTTTCGGAAAGATAGTGCAATAATACGTGCCAAAACTCACCTGAGACCGTCGGGAGTATCGGACGACGAGTGTGACGACAACGACAATGTTTCGATGTAATCGGACATATCGGAAGTGCCGCTGCTGGTACTGCGCGAATCGATGTACGGCGCATTCGAGACCTCGCCAGGACTGTTGAAGCCCTTCGTGGCCTTTGGCAAACACGTGGGTATATCGGCCTCCGCGGACGAGGATTTCGTCGGAATCTTGATCTTCTGGAACTGAAAAGAGATCTCTCGCAAAGGATCGCTGGACTTGGATTTTCTCGGCAAGCTGCTGTGATAACACGTAGGTGGCGGACTCTTGCGGCAAACCGACAACATGTTCTGCTTCATCGTCGAAGCGGCAGGTGCTGCTAAGGATAATTCAAATTCCACAAACTCCGCTGTTCTGTGACTCAACGAGCCGGTAGAGACGCCAGAATCGTTGCTGCTCGACGAGTCTCTGTTGTGACCAGTCTTGGATGGTACAGACGACGAGCGTCGGATCTTGATGAATGACGGTTGCGTCGCAGCCGTTAATATTTGACCGTTCTCGTGGTTGCTGCTGTTGATCTTGCTCTCGGAGTTCACGCACGAGCTGTGCGGTTCGCCGCTGGTCATCAGTGAATTCTTATCCGCTTCGCTTGAACACTTGTGGATGGTAAGTGTGGACGGAAAGGTGTGGCTCTCGTCGTCCAGGTAATGCGCGGATTCCGCGGAGTAAGATCGTTTCCTGAGAAGTATGCCTATACTACCACTGGACTCCATGACATTACCTGCGTCCAGATAACGACGCCTGAGGTACGGACTAGACAACATCGCCGATCCTGGTACACGGTATTCGGAGTCGGATCGTTTTTTGCTGCCCTCAAGCAACGCCGATCCTGACAACGTCGGGTTACTGGAGCTCTTGATTCCGCTGCAGAGTCGGGACAAGATCTCCTTCGAACAGGCATTGTGAGCCGGTTGCATCGGCAGATAACCGGCAAATGGTTTCTTCGGGGCCTCCTTGTCCAGATTCATAACTAGATACTCGTTCTCTCTTTCCTTGGCGTGACCGCATTTCTCACAAATTTTCGGAGCGTCGTCGCTCGATGCTTCAGGTGCCGGTTCCTTCAATTGATCTGCGAATTTTTCAATCTCCTCCTGCGAGATGCTGCTTTTTGTTAAAACGTCTTTGCTATTTTCGTAGTGCTCCAGTGATTGCGTGAAATCGATATTCACGTAATTCGCTTGCTTCGATTCCGGTTGCGCATCTATTACCGGTTCGACGTTTTCGTAATTGTTCGATTTGCTTGCTATAGTATAAGTACTGCAACTCTTCGCGGTAGCGTTTTCGTCGACCGATTCGGTCTTATTTGTTCTTCTGGCAGTGGCGTAAATGGAAACTTCACCACTAGCGTTCACTACCGGCATCTTGCCTTCACCCGAGAGCTTCACGGGATGAACCGTGACACCGGTGGGTTCGATTCCTGCGCCACGTCGACAGTAAGGCAGAACAAAGCCGGCCCAGCTCATGACATTGTGACAGGGACATCCCGAAGATCTGGGTGATTGGACTGTAAGTTTCGCGGGACATCCACATTCTTGCAGAACCACAGCCTGCGGAACCTGAGGCGTGTCGTAATTAGGATACGATTTCGGCATCGTGAGACACTCCTTTATTTTTCTTGGAGTGTCGTAATACTGTTCCGGTTGCGGACCTTGCTCCAGCAGCATGTGATGTCCCAGAATCGTTTTGGGAACATCATAATTCTCGTAAGGTCCTGTGGCACCACGATTCACGAGTTGTTTAGGCTGTTGTTGCAATGGTTGAACCTGTTGTGACTTCCGTGAGTGCACGCAAGTTTGTTGTTCGGTGGGCAGTGGCATCGGTGGTTTCTTAGGCTTTTTGGCAGTGACGGTGGGCTGGCTGGTTGTTGACAGTGACGGTGGTTGGGACGGTTTCGGCGGTCTCGGTGGCAACGCGCTCGGACTCGGTGACATTCGACGAGCGGTTGTTTGTGCCGTCTGAGACTGGGCGGTTTTCGATTGTGCGCATTGGCATTCGATTTGTTGCGAACCTGAATAATCGCTGTCGTGGCTGCTACTGCTATAAGAAGACAGTGAGAGTCGATCGAAGGTTCGGGGCTGCAAGTTACATCCTAGATTGTTCAATGTGCCAGTGGCAGGACTGCTTATGCCACTCATAGCTGTAGTAATTAAAGTCGACGATTTCGAGACAGTGCCAAGCTTGCTAATGCAACTGACGCATCTCTCGAGACCCGTTGCACCCTGACGAGTGAGCGAACAACTGCGCCAATCACCACTTGGCTGATCGGCCAGTTCCGAGACGGACACAGTATCCCTGCAGCTGTAATCACCATCGAGCTCTGTCTGCTGTCTGCTCTCGGCAGACGACCAATACGGCGAGTTCTCATTCTTGCAACTGTCACATTGTTCTTCATACGTTGACGTCGAATATGTGATAGCTGAAGGAAAGAAATCGCTTGCTCTAGTGTCGTTGCGGGAATACTGACGCCGTCCCGGACTATCCTGCGACATCGCCGATTGTTCTCTACCATGTGGTGATCGTTTCTTTGTGCTGAGCTTTCCCTCGGCTGCTAACTGCAGAGTCTTTACTATATCATCTCCTTGATCAGTTATTAAAACGTGCAGTCCTTCTCCCCGGCCGCATCTCGAACCGCCCTCGAAGCAGAATCTACCCTCGACTACACCGTATCGTCGGAGATGCGCGATCTCCCAGATACCGACAAGTCGGGGAGGCACGCCAACGGTGATGCAGAAACGACAGTCCTGAATGTGCAAGTGCGCCGGCCCATTAGTAAACTTCGCCTTTGACGGTACTGAGGAGATGAGTATCAAAAATTGCTGATCTGTTAAACAAAATTGACAATATATGTTTTACTTACATAATTTATCAATTACAATAATTGCACTGAATTAGATTTTAACATATCTCGTTTTTAATAAATCTTCGATAGTTATTTATAATATATTTATAAACAATTAGATAAATAAAAAATAATTTTTTTTAGAAAATCATAATGTTCGGGAACTAAATAAGAATTTTAATATAAAATTTATATATTTCATACTTTTTTATATTAATAACACATAAGACTTCTAAATTTGAAATTTATATGAGCTACCTGCATACACAAAACTGCACATGCGCGCAAACACACACACACACACACACACACACACACACACACACACACACACACACTTTCTCGATAAAACCTTACCTTCTCCTAAGTTGTTTGAAATTTTAACCTGCCATTGTATCAATCGCTCTCGCGTGTCGAACGCAAGAACGACCGTCACATCCTGGCAAATTATAGCAATCGTATTGGACTCCTTGTCAAGAGTAAAACCACTCTCCACTCCGAGAAAATGCTGCAAACTTAGAGATGCTTTTGTTTGGCCTTGTTTGTAACGATCCTTGCTATCCCCGTAAAGTTGCAAATGCAAGCAATCTGTTAATAAGAAAAAAAAAGACTCAATTGCTTCCTACACTGGTTAATTTAACTTTATACATTTCATTTTCTTTTTTTTTTTTTATCAGATAAATTTACAAAATGTGTTTTTTATGCGTTACGTATCTATTTTTACATTTTAAATATGTTATTTTCTTGATAGAGTTTTTAGTAAACATCTTTTCGTCTCTCTCATGCTTACCGATATATAAAAATAGATTTAAGACGTTACGTATTAAATTCTCTTTTTTAATTCCCTAAGTCTAAAAAACTTTATGGGAACACTTTTATATACATACATATTGTATATATAGACTTGGTTCTAAACTATTCTCACGTTACAAGGATTATGTAGTTAATGGTTATTGCCAGAAGCAAAGCTGTTCTTAGACATTTTTGGTTGGTTCGAGCTACCAATTTACAACAGATGTGTCAGCTGCCACCTTCGGAAGGACTGAAGGAAGGGATTCTTTATATGGATAACAAGCAGGGAAAGTCCCCTAAGGGGAGATATATGTGAAAGTAAATTTTTTACTACTGGAAATTCTATATCATCAATGTTGTAGCACACATGGAATTGCAACGATCCATCTGCTACAGTTAATTTGGAACAAGATAATGACTAATTATCGTAGCTCGTTATTTTAAGTAATTACGCAATTAATTTACTTATTAACAACATTAAATCGACATCATTATTCATGACGAACAATTTTCCGATATTTTTACAATATACGATTTTGCAACACACGAGCAACTTTATTACTAAAAGGTGTAAAATCTTGTCAAAACAATTTACAAAAATTAAATGTTATTATTAACTTATTTTTTACCTAGTTTTGTGTAAAATAAACGCTACAAGTCGCGATTCTTTAGTTTGTTTCTTATCTTATGTAATAAATTGAATATTTTTTTTAGGCAAGCACGCAAAAGAAAAAAACTACGCGAGAACAAGCAGACCACGTAGTTCGACAAGCAGAAACGAGGTATGGCCTATTATGCAAATTACAAGATAGCATCGTATCAACGACATGAGACGGTAGACAAAACACAGGAGAAAGGTTCAAGAATATATAATGTTTCCTGTTTTTATTATCTTATTGTTTCCTGCCATTTTTGCTTTTCTCCCTTTAACAGTCGCGATAAAAATAATGCACACATGTACGTAAGTGCGCGCCATGAAAAACAATCTTATCTAATTGTCATTAATAACAGAGTTATTATTAAACTGTTCGCAAGCAGTAAAACAATAACGCCATTGACAGCCCATTGTTAGCTATGCGGTATTAAAAAAAAAAAAAAAAAAAACAACAAGTGCGTAAAATGCGCTTTACTTTACCTGCTACTGGTGACAATTTCCGCATAACGCACCATCTTGATTTCCACTGCAAAAAACAAATACAAAAATGAGAGATTCTTCAATTGAAAGATATATATACGTGCAAAGCATTTCTAAAATTGAATGTAGAATAATTTTTACCGTAATTGATATTATTATTGCGTTTCCGCATTTGTGTTACAAAAACGAAGCGTAAAAAATTACACGCAGCTACAATATAAGCGCCACAATCATACGTAACGAACATGACAATTTACGCGCAACTACATTTGTTTTTTATTGAAAACTTAAATAAAATTATTTAGCAGTCAAGTGTTTAATAACACATACGTACAGTCGCGCGCGTTTATATGCATTTTGGTAATAATTTTTCTTTCCTTCCCTTTGTGATACATAATTAATTATAATTTATCATTCCTTCCTCTTTGTAACAATTAGATTTCAAATACACTGTTGTCTTCATATTTTTATCTATAAAATTTACACATTGCAAACTTTTTTCTTTATTTGCTGAAAATTCAATCCAGCAGTCCTGATCCTGGCTATTGTCTCGCATCTTTTTCCGGGGCACCCTGTATGAACGCCACCGGCGTCCGTACAAGCATATATACACCTACGTACGTACACACCGTAAACCGCCCCCGTAATCGTTACATAAGTTTTATGCCATGCATAAGGAGCCGTTCAGGTAACTTTCGTCGATAAGCGTCGCGTGAACGCGCACGGGTATTTCGCGTGCTCGCCCGAGCCGAGGAAATCGCTTTCCGAGATATGAGGAAAGACAAAAGGGTGTCGTTGATAATTTCGCGAGATGTGCGTTCGCGCGATTGTCAAGGGGATGGAATTGTAAAATGGAGCACGGATTCTCTCTCGCGTTGCGCGGCACGGCGCCGGGCCGAACGGCGTGTGCACACGCACAGAGAGATCAGGCAAAAAAAAAAAAAAAAAAGAAAGAAAAGAAACTCAAAGAAACTCACCTTCTTGCCATCGCGAAATTTGACGTTTCCCTCGATGATGCAACTGTTATCCACCATTGTAAAAGCCTGGCTCCGTTACGGCACTGTTTTGTGATGCTTCTCTCATTACCGCGTTCGTACGCCCGGCTCACCACGTCGCGACACCATTTGCAGCATCCGTCAAACGAATGTGTGTGTTGTTTGTCCGCTGCCGCCGACGGCCGCTTTTCTCTTTCTCTCTCTCTCTTTTTCTCTCTGTTTCTCTTCTGCTCTCGTTCCACGGGAGAAATGTCTGCGGCGAAATCACACGCGAATCACGCGGCAAAATCCATACTGCGAGCCGTCATCAGTCCCGAGCGCCTTCCATCTTGACCAATCTCGACTGATTCCGATATCGGCTTGCTGCCTGCGCGTACTACCTACTAGCGCGACCGCGTTGGCGTGTCGAGGCACGCATCCCGGCGGTCCCGTCATCTGTGAGGCGACGGCAAAAGTGGCCGATAACGGGCGCGACTTTTAATAATGAAACCGGAATGCGAAAAAATTCACGAAATTTGCGGACCAAGTTTTTGCGTCAATAAGTGACGAGCAAAAGAGGGTAAGATACGTTTACGCGGACTCAGATGTAAGTCGAAAGTCACATTTCTTTTCTCGATTACATTCCGCGCGCACATCGCGCCGCGATAACAAATTCTTAGTACAGTTTTTCCAGCAAAATAAATGTCTTTGTTTTAATGTAACTAAACAAATAATATGACTCAATTGACTAAAGTGGAAAATACTCTTTAGAAAAAAAAGAAAAACAAGAAAAGAGAAGAACATCGATATTTTTTCGAAATCTCGATAATCTTAGAAAAAAAAATCAATTATAATTGTCGCAACGGTTTTTGCAGGTTATATAGTTCGTAATGAACCTCACGCAACATGGCGGCGACAGTCTGGCAGGTAGCGCTTGGCGTAGGTAGCGGTGGCGGATCAGTGACAAACTCGTCCCGTTGCGTTGGCAGCATTGCGCTTGGTCAAATCCATCGTGATGACAGTTTTGAGCGGTGACAGCCGCGTATACGCTTGTTAGTCGTTGTCGTGCTGTTGCGTTCCGTTCGGCTCGGCAGTCGGGACTTGGAACGGACTGCAGCCGCTTCTTCGGTCCCCCGTCGTCGACGCGCGAGGACACGAGGCCCCGAGGTAAGCGACAATTCGATTTCGACGAGAGAGACCAGATGGCCCCGCGAGAAACGATCGTGGGGCCGTTACACCTGTGTGTGACAGCCAAGTTTGTTTGCTAATACGTACGTACGGATAACGGCAATGTATTATCTCTCTCTCTTTCCGGTTATGTGTTGCCACTCAACGCGCGTGTGTGTTCATCAGTTTTATTATCGCCACCCGTGCCGCCCGTTTCTCGTGGGTTCGTGCACGCGAAGCGGCGACACTTTGACGCCAACCGTATCTCCACAATCGGCATATTCGAGATATTAATTGAAGAGGCCCTCGAGCAACGAAGGTGGGTGGGAGAGAAGTGTGGGTGGAAATTCTGGAGGACGCGGAGAGAGTGTCTTGGAGATGTTTTTTTTCTCGTTTCCCCGGCACAGAGAGGGAGGGAGGAAGGAAGGTGGGAAAAACTTAATTTCGCCAACGACACGCGAGAAGAATTATTGCAGCTTGTTGAGAAAAAAAATGCAGGTGTTTTACAAGTAGTTATTGCTGCTTCACACAGTAGTCGCAAACAACACAATTGTACATGCTCTATTTTTTTAGTAGTTTTTTTTTTTTTATTTAAGTGCTGACATTCTCTCTTGTGTTTTTTTTTTTTTCGTTCCTTAGATGCGCGAAAAACAAAAACAAAAAACCAACAGATTTTTCAGAAATACATGTTTGAAATTGCTCCTTTTAGTGAAATAAAAATTACATTCGTTGTGCGACAAAGAAAAACTTGTTTTTATATAAATTGATTTTGTCTTCTCTAGGTTCAAACCCGGTTGTATTTCATTCACACCGCGATCGCCGCGAATTTATTGAAGCACACATGATAGACGATACAGAGTCCCGAAATAAACGTTTTGTTCTATTACGAGCGCGTTGACCTCAAAAAGCTCATGTTTTCCTCGAGCAATATAACATATAAAGTTAACGCGCACGCTTCGTGAGAAAAGCGAACGAGCATAATGCAACAGTACTAATTTCTACTATTTCGCGTGCTGTTGCGAAACTGTAAGGTGAAACGGTATCGAACTATATACTGTGAAAGTCAGCAGCTTTAAAAATGCGTGGTTGTAAACTCGAGCGTTTCTCGAAGGAAACCGACACTCTTTTTAATCGGTGATCATCTTGTTAATTTCAAAAGAGAAATTATAATTACATGACAGGGAGTCTATATCAAAAAATCTGACAATTCGATTAGGGAGGTAAGAAAATTGTTTAGCTTATTCACCTTCACACGCACACAAACATGACGGATCAAGTCCGTAGAAGAAAGGCAGAACGTCATTTTGATTTATTTGACGGGGCCACGTTAATTAAGTCGCGTTTGCATCATTTATACCGCTGTGCATCTCGACAATATTTTAGGACGCCTGTTACTTTACTTGGGCAGCGTTACGGAACCGTGTTACATCAACGTGTAACTCGGAAGCGGAGACAGGCAGCGGCGACCTTTAACGCTAAATGCCGGCGTGAATTACGGGTCGATAGCTCGGCACCGGATCTATGCCTTGCTTCCTCTCAAGTCAATTTCGTTTGTGTTTTCGCGCGGAAACTGAAAATTTCGCCCCGATTACGCCACAAGCGAGTCTTTACAATTTGCGACCTAAATTCTTTCATTATCGTGATTGAATTCTTAGCGTCGGATGTTGAATGGTGATACCGTTCAGCGGCTCATGTTCAACGTCAAGTCGGAATTGCTTACGTATAATGTTGCATTGTGATATTTTAACAAATTTACACAACGTGTGTGTGTGTGTGAGAGAGATAGAGATAATATTTGGGCAGAATATTCCCGTGCAGAAAATACACCTAAAAATAACATCCGAGAATAATAATATTTATTTTATCTAAGAATAACATACACACACATACGAGCACATTAGTTCGCTTCTTCTTATTATTATTATTATTAGGAACAGTATATTATATCATATGTGCGCAAAACTAATTTTAGTTTCGAGAGGAAATGAATTGCGAAGAAACGACAGACATTTGGTTTTAAATAGGGGGAAAAAACAGATTAAGGTTGAAAATATTTTTTTTGGCAATTTTTATAAAGAATATTTTGAGAGAGAGAGAGAGAGAGACGGGCGTATAGGAGTACGCGGAAATTTAAATAAAAGTCGATATCGAAGATGTTAACCCTTGTAGTCACGTTCAATTGGAGTGACGCAGCCGCGGTCGCGTAGGGTGCATTATGGAAGGCATAACTAGAGCAGATAAAATTCTTCTGCCATTGCCTATATTTGCATATATTATTGATAACGTCTTATCAGTGGTATACCAGAAACGCGGAGAAAGAAAAACTTGCAATTTATTTTTTTATAAACACACACGGGTAGTAGTTGATGTAAAAACATTTATCGGAACAGATATATATATATGTGTGTGTGTGTGTGTGTGTGTGTTTCCGGTTCTCTCCTCTCTCTTCTATTTTTAATTAAAATTATTACTGACGCAAATTCCCATTCGTATAAAGTTGCGAAATTGATTTGCGAAATTAAGAAGGAACACTCTTAAATTCAACTTTTTTTTCTTTTAACGATAAAGTGTCTTTTTTTTTTATGAAAAAGTACGCCGATCTTCTGGAACACAATTCAATGCAAAATTGACGCCAATCCTATCAGAGAAGCGCTCATAATACGCTAGGTGTGTCTGCACACACAAGTGATTCATCTGACTCTCTGCGTCGATTACCTTGAAATTTAAGTTTTTTTTGTTTTAGTATCACTCTGAGTATTACTGTAGAGAGAGAGAGAGAGAGAGAGAGAAAATGTTTTCATTAACGTGTATGCACGCGCGTTCGCAAGAGAAACTCAAATATTGCAAGTGAAAAAGAATGCACATCAACGTCGATTTTCTATTCTCACGTGTTGGTTTTTTTTTTTTCTACCTGGAAGAGTTACGCATCGTCATGTGTTACTCCGTGGAGATTATTATCGCGTGTTGCAAATGCATCCACTCTTTTCTAAAATTGCTTTCTTGTAAAAGCACGAGGCTTTCGCGTCCCTTCGTTGTGTAAAAAAGCAACACCTTTATGTCATATAAACCGGTGGCCACGTAAGCGAAATGAAATTCTAGGGATAGCGTTACGTAATTGACAATTTCCCTTGCGTATTGCACGCGTATGTAATATAATTGTTATATATATATATATATATATATATATATGTATATATATATATCATATGTAAGAAAGAGAAATTTTTTTCGCAGACAACATTGCAAAGTTTTTGTTTAACAGATCAGACTTGGACCACACTTGACACAGGAAAGTCCTGAATTGTTACGCCATGATATAATCTAGTCACGAGCAGACGACTGTTCCGGTGATGAACGATGACGAATGCGCGCGTACACGTGTATGTGTGTATTCATAATGCCCTCTCACCGGGAACCTATCTCTCTAGAGTCTGTAATTATTACAGGACTATATAGTCCGTTTCATTCATTGCTTTGTACAAACTGTACTTATGACTCCTGCTCTTTATCCTTTTACACAGACTTTATTTCTATTCAATAGAATCATTTAATTATGCGTATCATTAACGCGGTGTGATATATTAACTCTTTATTATTATTATTTTTTTTTTTTTTATTGCATATTTTGTGATAAAGTCTTGATTACGTTGCTATGTTGAAATCTGACGTTTTCGATATCTTATTATATCCGAAAGGAGATGATATCGGTTTTTCTAACATGCGATAAGTAACTTGTAATCTCTGTCTTACACAAACTTGTTTGTATCTGTGAATTTTGGAACAAAGAATTTTTCAACAAATTTGTACGCGTACGTAATTGAACTTTTTAACATTGCAATTTTGCTTTCGAAGAAAGATTCATCAAAAGTATCATCAGAAACATCTAGTGCTCTCTCTCTCGATCAGTGTTCGTACATAAACGGCTTTTTATTTATTTGTCACGAGGGACGGACGTCGCTGCGCATGTGAAGCGTCCTGGCCTGCGCGGGCTGCATCGACCCTCAAACCCATTTCGTACTTTCCAGCAGTACGTTCCTAGCCGGATCCCGATTATCGCGCCGGGAAATCGGGAAAATCAACGAAACGATAATCGTGTCGGAGAATCGGCATGTCGAGTTGACAATACGAGAGAGAGAGAGAGAGAGAGAAAGAGAGAAAAAAAGAGTTTTGCGTTCCTCGGAAAAGAGAAACCGCAAACACCTTTCCGATTACATTATCTGCTTTGTTTGAGTGCGGACTTTTTGAATTTGCATTCTTTGGAGGTTGTCATTCGTTCGAGCGATCCCAGAATTGAAGAACAGAATTGGCCGATCTCATCGCGAGAACGGGATGCTTCGTGCGTGCGCAAGAGATGAGATGCTAAAAGTGTGCCGGTTCTGTTGCTTAACTCTCTATTGTCCGATAACTCTCGTTAATATTTCATCCACTTTTCTATTTAATTCCCCCCTCGTTTGTCCTGCGTTGCACGTCGAACGTCAAATGTGATGTAAACTTTTGGTTTTGGGGCGAGCGAGTGTGAATTTGCCTGTTATATACATTTACGTATATATACACGAGAACTTTACATTGAGTTACATATCGCATTGTGTTCAGCGTAATAGAACTTAACGTTTGCTATTACTCAAGTAGCAGGCGATCCATCACTCGCGACTTGACACACGAACCTCAAATCCTTTCACTACATGCTGCAGACTGTGCGCGCGCTCATTACGCCGCCACAAGATCCCGAGTTATGAATCTTAATTTCTCTCCAGGATCAAGAAAGCAGCAGCAACCGCGTTTCTACGGTTTTAATTGTCACGTTAATCACCAAGTTGGCGCGACGTTTTTTGTTTTAATCTCTGTCGTCCGTTGTAAAATGTCATCATTTTAAAATGAAGACATATCGTCCCTTTTGTTGATTTCTTTCTAAATATGTAAATTAGTTTGAACAGGAAAAACAATTTCAATGCAGTTTTACAATGAGACGTTTTTACAAAATATTGTATATCATAAAAAAGACTTATTTGTAAATAAAATGCGTTTAGTTTTTCGTCAACTGTTTTAACGTTTTTCGTCGTCTTTCTTATCATTTTTCCGTGCGAATGACTGTATATGAAATTACGTTGCCGTATGTATTCTCATATATAGGTCAGTAATTTGCCACATAGTAAATTAAAAAAAGTTTTTTTCCTTACGACGCAGCAATTCCAACGGCACAAGTGTTCCGCGCGGTTTGCAAACAACGTGACATTAAGATAATACGAGCGCGAACCGATATATATTTTTTCTTTAACTCGACAACGCTTCTCTGAAATGTTGCATATAGAATATTTCTAAATTTTTTCTACAACACAGAGAACAGAGACTATATTAAATAAAAAACAAAAAACTTTATAATATCTCAATACGATATTTAATATCTGTGCAACGATAAGTTCAGAATACGGATCTCTATAGAGGACAAACCTTCACTTTTGCAGAAAACGATCAATGTTACATTACTTTTAGAATATAAATGTTAATTTTAGAATATAAATGTGTTATATATATATATATATATATATATATATATATATATATAATATTAAAACGAAAGAAGAAACGTGGATAGTAAAACAGGACAAAGGGAAATAAAAAGAAATAATTTTTAAAACTGTTTTTAAATATAAAAAAACACAAGAAAACAACAAGAACAGAGAGGTTGAAGTTCGATCGTTAATTTTCGCTGCTCTTCGTGGTTTGAAAAAAAAGAAAAAAACGGGATCTCGACATATTCCGTTCGCTTCCGTTTTGCTACAACCGCGCAACACGAAGTATAACGTACATAATACGTAGACATAATAGACGGCTTGGATTCACCTGCTCTTTCGTCCGCTAATTCGTTCACACGCACTAATTGCTTCCTTCTTGATCTTCTATCGTGTCGTGCTTTGCGCACTGCCTCACCAAGCCCGATATTTATACGAGGTGTTTCACAAGAGAACGTTAGTTGCGTAAATCCGATTTTTTTTCTTTAGAAGATTCAATACGCATTAAATTTATAGAAAGACAACAAACAATATTTTACAAAGAAATGTATAAAAGTAATCTTAATTTGCGTCTTCAAATTGTTTACGTGCAATAACAGAAGTCATCATTAATAAACCAAAGTATGGATGTTACGTTGCGGCAGTTGTGTAAAATTGATGTAAGCTCGTTCGATTGAGATGACAATGCGAAGATACGAACGGCAGCAGAAACAGAAACGCGAGAACGCTTTCCGCGAACAGTAAAATCGCGACAGTGAAATCAGACAAAACGCATCGATGGTTCTGGGTGGCTTATTGGCCCCCGCGGCAGCTCGTTGGAGAAGAAGTAAAACGAAAAGGTACAATAGGCTCTGAGACTGGAACAGAGAATACCGTCGACAGATAGTGTACTTTTTCTTTTGAATCTGTGATAGACGGGAAAAAAATTTGTATAAAAAAATGTGTATAAAAAAAAAAATTTACACACCATTCAAATATCAAAAATCGATATCAAATATCAAAAATACAATTGTCTCGCTGTCCAGTTTTTGTCACAGTTAAATTCTTTCTTTCGATCGAACATCGAGAGTATTCGCAGAATTGTTTGTTCGCACAATTAAGTGAAGGCACTCGGGCGTGCACCCGCGCTTAAATAGATGACTGTAGTGTGTCCGCTGAATCGTATTGCGTTAATTACCATCCACGTTAATTTAACCGCAACTTTGTTTCGTTACAGAACTCAGAGCGTTGCTCGGGATACCGTAAACGCGTCGGTCGGCCAATTAGGACTGTCACGTTATGGACCGCAGGTGATGAGCGTGTTGTGTTTATGCACATCCAGCATCCATCAGTCTACCCGCAACGTCACGCAGACCGGCAAAATACTCCCCAGTCCGCCATCTGATACTCTTTGCGAGCAGCAGATAACGCCCTCGCAGGAAATACCTACTGACGAACTGGCGCTATTAGCTAAACTGGAGGAAGCCAATAGGTGAATAATCAAGTCCTGGTCCCAATTTGGTCGGTGTCGCATGAGCGATCGTCTGCGAGTTGTCAAGAATCGAACAAATCAGTGCGCGCTCAGCTCAGACTGATAAATCGATTCTTCAAATTTTTAACGTGCACAAAAAAAAAACAAAGTTGTTCGTATTTTCCACCTTTCAAGATTTTTGGGGTAAGATCGAAGAGATCTCTCTCGCATGCGCAGATTTGGATGAATTTGCCTGGATTTCGTTTTATTTTAACGCAAAAATGCTAAATGTTAATTTTGCTACGCAATTTGGCTTGGAAATGATGCACAGTAGGCTACAGGATAAGGCCGCACTTTTAACTCAAAATCGAAAGAAACAGGAGAAAGTGTAAGTTTCTCTTCTGCATATCCTTTTGCAAACGTAAAGTTAATTTGTAATAAACTTAATAAAGTTAATTTTTTTATTTTTCAGAATAACGATAACATTTCTACAACAAATTTTTTACCTAATACATTTCCGTGTTTGTGAGGAATAGATATTTTTTTTTGTCCGTAATGTAAAATTTTGTGAAATATCAATAATCATACATAGTTATCAAAAAGTTTGCTTAATGTTGAATTGTTTGTGCAACAATCGATCGCAAATACTGTATGTAAATCGACCGATAAAATTGGAAAATGTATAATTTATAATTTTACTTTATTTATCTAGGCTGATCGAGTCCGATGCAAAGTCACTGAACTCTCTCCAAAGCAATCACAGCAGAAAAGGTTCCGACACATCCCAGGTGTCCGTGGCGTCGGGGGGCAGCGGAGGAAACGGCGATGCTGCACCTCGGCGCCACAACTCTGCCGATGGCGAGGAGAACACGTGGAATGTCTGGGGTAATATTGTGGCTGATTGGGACTTCCACTGGAAGAAACGGAAAGAGTTCGTCAAGGAATTAGTTCGACAAGGCATACCCCATCATTTCAGGTAGCACATCTGTTATTTTCAAAGCTCTCACGTAAATATTGTTTTACGTATTGTTTCTTATTGATAAAATGTTTTGTACGTATTGTGTTTTTTATTGATAAAAATATAAATAAAATGTTTACAACTAATGTGGATTATTTTAGGGGCATTGTTTGGCAATTACTGAGCGGCGCACATGACTCGCCGGTCAAAAAACAATTCGCAGAATATATTAAAGCAACGTCAGCCTGCGAAAGGATAATTAGAAGGGACATCGCTAGAACGTATCCTGAGCATGACTTTTTCAAAGAAAAAGATGGTCTTGGTCAGGAGAGTTTGTTTAACGTTATGAAAGCGTATAGTCTTCACGATCGCGAAGTAGGATACTGCCAAGGTTCAGGATTTATAGTAGGATTACTTTTAATGCAGGTAAATTATTAAAACAGAGGAAGATAGATAGATAGATAGATAGATAGAGGAGAGAGAGAGAGCGCTAATTGTTTTAATTTAATTTAATTTAAAATTTATATATGTATTGTTGTTGCAGCAAATGCCAGAGGAAGAAGCGTTTGCTGTACTAGTAGCGCTTATGCAAGAATATCGCTTACGAGACATGTTCAAACCAAGTATGGCTGAATTAGGAGTATGCATGTATCAATTAGAACATTTAGTTGCCGACACACATCCGGAACTTCATGCTCATTTCACGGCTCAAGGTTTTCACACGTCGATGTACGCGTCCTCTTGGTTTCTCACACTGTTCACTACAGCGCTGAGTCTTCCTTTAGCGTGTCGCATATTTGACGTGTTTTTATCAGAAGGCATGGAAATTATATTTAAAGTCGCGTTGGCAATGCTGCATTTAGGCAAAGACGATTTGCTCAGTTTAGATATGGAGGGTATGCTGAAGTTTTTCCAGAAGCAATTGCCGGGAAAGGCCGAGAAAGATCCCGACGGCCTCATGACGCTCGCTTACGGAATGAAAATCAATCCAAAAAGAATGAAGAAACTGGAAAAGGATTACACAATTTTGAAGATGAAGGAGCAGGAAGAGATGGTCGAGTTACGTCGGCTTAGAGCGGAAAACAGATTACTCAGACAAAGAACTGAACTTTTAGAAGCAGAGTCGGCGGAACTGGCAGATAGATTAGTTAGAGGTCAAGTATCGCGAGCGGAAGAGGAGGAGACCGCTTTTATAGCACAAAGAGAATTGGCGGCGCTTCGGCACGCACATCTCGAGACGAATCATCAACTTGAACAAGCTCACGAGGAATTGAGATCGTTGTCGCTTCTCCTCGAGGAGAATGTAACGTCTAGACAATCATCGCTTGATGAGATATCGATGAAACAAGAAGCGTTATCGCAGAAGGAGGAAATAATACAGTGTTTGCAAGAAGAATTGGTTAGAGTTAGATTACATGAGGCAGAAAATGATGCACTGATAAGAGAGCTCAGGGGAAGAATACAGGAATTAGAACAGGACAAAAAGACACTGCGCGAGTCGACGCCGGACAATTCTGTTGCTCATTTGCAAGAAGAACTAATTGCAGTTAAGCTCAGAGAGGCGGAAGCTAATTTATCTCTAAAAGTGAGGTTTGCATTTATAAATATATTATTTTAATTTATCTGACAGTTTCACATAATCTGTGTATTTAACACAGGATCTACGGCAGAGGGTCATGGAACTAAATGCAGCTTGGCAAAGGCATCTACAAGAACATCGATCCGCTCAATCAGCGCCTGCCGCTGATTCTACGCCAAAGAAGTTATTGTTTTGGGAAAATCGGGGACATGAGGTGCAAAAACTGGAGGAAGACTTAATGACGACTAGACTCCGTGAGATGGAAGCGTTGACTGAAGTTAAGGAGCTTCGACTTAAGGTTATGGAGCTTGAAACTCAAGTGCAAGTAGCTACCAATCAGCTCCGTAGACAAGATGAGAATGGAAAAGTACTTAAAGATGAGTTGGAGGCTGCGTTATCTCGGGAAAAGGATCTTGCTGCCAAGTTGCGAGATCAACAGCACAAATATTCCGATCTAGAGTCGAAAATGAAGGATGAAGCTATGATGGCCAGGATACGCGATGCCGAACACGCGCAGCACGTTGCCGAGCTTATGCAGAAAATATCTCTTCTCGAGTTGAAGGTCAATATATATATACATATATATATATAATTCTACGTATCTGTAGGTTGGCACTAGTATTAACGTTATTACACTCAAGCATAACGTTTGATATATTTGCAGAACGAGGAGATGTATGCAGAAGGCGAACTTAGAAATAATTTAGACGACAGTGAAAAAGTAAGAGAGCTTCAAGATAAAGTCGCCGAACTGAAAGCTGAGGTAAGTGAATGTTAAAAATGTGATCTACTCGCTGCAGAACTACTATCCATTTGAGAAAATATGTTTAAAAATTCGATTTAACGACAACAATTATCTCGAAATATTGCAGTAAGGGGTGAATTATGTTTTACACAACTGAAAACGTATATCTTTCATGCATTATATATCAAGTAATAATTCATTTTCTATTTTAATAAAATATATAGTAATAATAATTTTTTTAGATAATTTAAATTAATTTTTATAAATTTTCACAACTTAATATTGTTATAGATATTGTTGCAGATAAAAGACAAATAATAATGTCATTTAAAAAGTTTTTTATATACATTTATTATATAAGTTATAATAATAATTTGTAAATTTATAGTTTTTCTCTTTTTTTTCAACGCTATTATTGCGGTTTTCGGTAAAAATTAAATTTTTAATATTCTGTTTGAAATATAAAACCCCAATTTTATAAAACAAAAAATTTCTTTCTCATCGTTTTTCTTTAAGACAATTTTTACTGCATTACTATGTGTTTATACTTTAATTCTATAAACTATGTATAAACTATGTATCACTGTTTTATAAGAAGACGATATGTTTTAATTTTTTCTTTGAGATTAACATGTGATTAATCTCAATAAAGCAGGTATATATTTTTGTTGTTTAAGTGTAATATATGTGTTATGTAAGATACAATTACGCCACATATTCCTAACAGATGTATTATATGTAAACCAAACGTTTTTTTTTTTATTTTTAATGTTGTTTATTATCACATATTGCACTTTTCTAAACTAAAACTTCGTGTTTGTAAAAAGACATAAACATAAAGATATTTCTTTTGTTTTTTATTGATGTGTTACACTTCTACAAAACAACTGTGCACAAACTCCTCTTACTGCTGTGTAACGCTAAGTCAACACTTACAAAACAATTTATGCACAAACACCTCTTACTGCAATGTAACGCTAAATAACACGCTTTGTAACATCGTCGCTTCTGGTGGATTGCGAAAATAATATTTGTGATTACTGGGAGCTTGGAAAAAGTGTTTTTACTTTAATTAATCTTATTTGTATACATGTGCTCCAATTCAATTTATGTCGTTTACAAATTAACGATTTACGTTTGTAAATATTCGCTTAACGAACTATCGTCGTATTGACAACTTCGTAAGAAATAAAAGAGAAACTACATCGTCCCTCGGAGAGGAGATATTTATTACGCTATCAAACTATATGATCTTCTAATAATGGAAAATGCTTAATAAAGTAGGGAAATAGAGCTTTTTGCCTCATTTACACATTGCAATAATTTTTATATCAATAGGTACCTATACACATTAAGAATTTGCTACATTGCAGCTTTTCTCATATCAGCACCGCTCTATGAAATTTTTTTATTCTATCAATAATTCAAAGAGGCTATAAATGTCTCATTATTTTTGTCACATACATATATGTTTAGTAATATATACCTCATTCATCTTCATCATAAATCGAGTTGAAATTGTAAATCTAGTTTTAATCTCATTGTACGTACATCGTCTAGAAAATGAGAGTTAGCACAGCATGGGGATTAAGTTTGAAAGTTGCAATAAACTTTGCAGCAAAATTGTTTGTTGGGAATGCAAACAAAGTTAATACAAAAAACTTTTACTTCATTGATTGCAATCAACAAAGTCTGAGACGTGTTGTTACTCATAGCGCTAACGAATTATTCGCGATAGAAAATCTGCTTTGTCACTTCATGATTTATGCTTTGCTCTCTACTTGAACACAACGCATACCTAACAAACAAATAAACTATACATTACGTAGTTTTGCCAACAGACAAAAATTTGGCTCATTCCAATAAAATCGTACGCATGTATAGACGTAAATCTTTCTCAATAACGCGCATGATGTTATCGAACAAAAGAAAAACAACAATAACTAGATTAGCAGATCTTATTGTGTAAAGGTACCAAACGATAATTAATACTAACCAGAAGGGACTAATTGTTGTTGAACTAACCCTCTATTGCTGTGTTATCTCTGTCTCTCCTCAGTTCCCCACGCCAATCACCAGCCCGGAGACTGAGCCTTGGCGCTGGCTCGAGTAAGTCTTTACTCATGTGTAAGCATCATTTTCTATCGTCTCCGTGTGCGTGGCATGATGGTCTTTTTGTACTGTAATATAATCTAGCGTTATGTAGCTGTCTCTGTCTCTCTCTCTTACTCTATTCCATTGGGTTTTCCTCGACGATTTAGAGTCTTCGCTTTTGTTATTAGTCAGCGGCGATTTCATTTGCATAGCTGGTAAACATATTTACATTAGCAATGTACATATATTACGCGCAACTGTAACGACTTGTAAACAAGTCGGAACAAAGTCGGATATAAACTCGATCAGTTTGAATGATAAATTCTCTTCATCAAATCTCAAAAAACAAAAGTCTAAATAGTCGTTTATTTGATTTAATTTTATGTTTTCCAATGTGTAAAAATCTACATCAATTTTATCACGAGCATCCTCGAATGCCGATCAGATAAGTTGGAATCGAAATGTGGCTCACTTTCTGTATTATACGCGTGGTGATGTGGCATGATGTTCTGTTTTCCTTCCCATTTAACTGCATGCTTCCTTAAGATCGAATTCAGTGTTTCGTTCTGATAAACATTCACGGCTGTTGCTTTTAGTTCGATGAAGAAAAAAAGCATAGATGTGAAAGAGGCGTGAAAGTATCTGTGTGAAAGTATTATAAAAGTTCATTAATTTAGCTCTCGAGAAGTCGAGTTTTTTCGTTTTTTCGTTTTTTTTTTGTTTTTCCATTTTTCTTCTTCGACGCATTATCACTCATGTGCACAACTTTAATTGTATTTTGTTTTCAACAACATTTGATTTGTTACTTAGCGTTAAATCGTCTGTAATTGCGCGAATTAAGCTTCATTTAAAAGTAATTTATTTAATTTTTCGCGTGTACTCTTTCTTATTTTCTTTTGATGCTCGTGAGGAAAAGAAAAGTTGATTGAAATACGACTTGACAAGATCTTTCTGGTGAGAGATCCCTATTACTGTTTAGCTTCACATTAAATCCCTTGATTTCTTTAGATGAGAGTTGAATGAACACTTTGTAAAATAAGACGTCACACATGAAAGGCTCTCTCTATTTTTCTCTAGAGTTATTTAAAACTGTGTGTGTTCACATCGTGTATATCTGTTTCGTAGGTCATGAGGCTAGAGAGTTGGAAACAACGATGGACGGGTCTTGGCGGACAAACCGCGCGAAGTTTCAGCGTCGATACTGAAAGCGAATTGGACGAGCGGGATCTCAGAATTTGCTTACAGGATCATATCAATACGACCACGCCAAACTCACCCGAGGTATAGAATTCTATGTATACCAGACCATTAGGCAGCTAACAATACTCCGTTACTCGATACGCACGAACCTTTTGTTCGTTGTCGGCTTTCGCTGTAGGAAATAACGCGTATATGCGCTTAGATTGTAACTGCGGGAGTTAGTTCGTAATAATCCTGTTTACGTTACGTGTATTACTACTAGGCCAAATACAATAGACATTCATAGCCATTAACTAAGTACGCTGTAACAATTAAAAAGAAAAAAAAAGATAAACGAAACAATGAAATAGTAACGATAGACACCTTCGATAATTGACACCAAATAATCTGGATCGTAATCAAGATGCGAAACTCGGTATTGCTTTCAAGAATTAATTAACTTTATAATGCATACTTTAACATTATAATCTTTTTTTTTGTAGAGCTATAGCATTTTTTTTAGAATACCTTTTTTTTTTTTAAGATAAAAAAATACTATTTTAGTGAAAGAATAGAAAAACGTTAATGTTTATTATTGTTTATAATAACATTATTATTATATTTTATAGATTTTATATATTACACAGAGTATTTTGTATAATATGATAGTTTCATAGCTAGAGAGTATCATAAAATATAATGTGTTTATATTATCCAGTAGACAGTTATTTAATCTATTATTTCGAGAAAAAGAGAAAGAGAGAGAAAAGAGAGACCGACTGATACAAGATATAATCTCGAAAACATTTTATTACATTGGTCAAATTTAATTTCAGTCGCAATTCTTTGTCCGAATGATAAATAAAATATTTTAGAATATCCTGAGAGACTACAGTTTTTTTTTTATTAATAGATAAACAATATTAATCGATTAAAACGTAGCGGGATAGAGTTTATTATAGCTTTCTATACATATAGAATAAAATAACCTTAATGGAATTGAAGAGATTATATAAATTCCAATAGTTAATCTCTAAATCTATATAAACTACATTTATCATCGATAAGTATAGAAGACTTTCTCTATAAATATTTTATCACATCATCGGATATCGATTCCAAACGCTTTCCATAATTGTTTTTGAAGCTTGATTACGATCTATAGATTACATAAAGATTCAAAGAAAGATCGCATAATAGTTATTAATTCTGTGACACACACACACACACACACATACACACACACACGCACACACACACAACTGTTTTTATACGCATGATATACTCTGTGTATTTTTTGTAATTCATACCAAATGTAATCGCATTTAAGAAATTGTATATTAAACGCCGGGAAACGTTGTGATGGATATATACATATATTATATCACCGTTTTTTATAAATATATGTATTTATATATGTGTGTCACGAGAAGGGATCATCGCATACAAAAAAACAAAAAATATCACAATAATTCATGCAACACATAAATACTGCGTGCGTTAATCGAAATTTGAGTATTTAAAAGATTTAAGACACTATTACATTCTCTCTTCGTTACGAGAGACGTGACATTCTTATTATTGTTGTTCTATATACATGTAAATCATTTGTAAGATATTTAATGAATTTCTAAAAAAAAAAAATTTATACATAAAAGACGATTAAGTTCTGCGGACAACATGCAATTTGCGCAGCACGAGGTGGTGTTGTTAAACTCGAACTACAGCAGTTGAAGAACAATTTTACGTGCGTTTATAAAAAAATCGGAATAAATCGACTTTTTAATACTTCCGAAAAACAAAAGAAAAGAAAAGTGAAAATTGTTTTTCTCTATATCGATTTAACGATTGTTGAAATTGAAACCGAACGAGAAATAACGGGAAGTACAATTAAGAATTAGTGCTCGCATAACTCGTTCCTCACAGTGATTTCCTAGGATAATTACTTGCAATGTAAGTACTTGCGTAAAAACACCTTGCTGCTTTCTTCTACAGCAAGTCACCTTAGCCTACTTGCAAATGCGTCTTTTCTTCGCTTGGCCTAAAATTGTTGCGTCCTGTTCTTTGGTTGCGTTGAAATAATTGGCATCGATTTTAGATCATTCGCAGTATATCATGTGCGTTTAACAAAACACGAGTCCACCTTCGATAGAGGCCCTTTTTCATGCTTTCACGCGTGCATGTGTGCAAATCAGCATGAATGTATCGTATAACGAAATCACACGAGAACACACCGGCAAAAAAAAAAAAGATATTTCCTAGTAGTATTTTTCGATTGTGTGCTTTACAGCGAATTTCGAAATAGCGTAAGGACAAATCGCGCCCGATTCATCGCACAGAGATCAAAGAAGAAACAACTAAAAAACATTGATATTAATTAAAGGTCGATCGAAACATGTAGTGAGAAACGCAAATATGACTGTTCACGACGTGATGGCGAGTAATGTATTTATTGTAAGTAGCACCTATAAGCACGGAACAAGGAATAAATGTGCACCGAAAGGAAAAGTGACATTTGTATTTGCGCTTTGAGTTTTAAGTGAAGTATTCATAGCGGATTAGATTCTGTTGCGCATTTATATTGCATTTATACTGTTAGAGAGTCAATTTCAATCACTGCAGGTTCCTCGGCATCGTAGAATAACAGCGGTGAATTTACGATGTATGAACCTACGTTCGTAGTATCGTAATACGTATATCTGTAGTTTCTGCGTCATTGACTTTGTACATATAAACTGTCCTGGACCTACCGAGTTATCTTTCAGCTCTAAATAGCAGAAGTCGAGTTTACATCCAAAATGTTTCGGTGTTACTATCTCGACATTAACGAGGAGAACCATCTTAGAATCGTGCAAATCGAAATTGTGATGACGCTTGAGCAATCGACGCTTCGAAAAATTGTTAATTTACAATGAAATTATTATTCTTTAATCAACTTGAAATAAACTTTACTTGTGAGCGGTTAATTTCATCTCGTTGTTTTTTTTTTTTTTTTTTAATCCTATCTAATAACTAATATATATTTTTTGATGAGACTAAAAAAAGTTACAAAAAGAATCTGAATAGATTCTCGTTGAGAAGAAACGAACAACATAAAATTTGCTAATCAATTACAATGTAACAGATATGACTCGTTAGGTCGAGGACGTCGAGTGTGCAATAACGAATTCATTCCATTAAAATGAATGAATTATTGATCATGCACGATAAACGCGAAATAATAGATAAACCAGCGAATACGGATTGCACATCCACACAAACGGTATCAATAAATGAAGTTGCATGAAGCTTTGTTTGCGAATGTGAATTATTACCAGAATGCGTTTTCATATGACAAGTCTCATAAAACATCCTTTTAGAACTTTCTCCTTTAGTTGAAGTTAATACACGCTCATCACAAGAAAACTGTTCAAAGTTCGTTATTCTGAGACGAGAAAAGTGCTTTGCTCGAAAAATCATTCTATTTTGTTGTCAAACTTACTGGAAACTTCCGTCATGGAAAACGTTCGAGAGAAATTAAGAAAATAAACGCGTACATGTGTATATATATATATATGTATAAATACTAATATGAAATTTCGTCGACATCGTTTTTGCAATTGCTTCGAAGAACGCGGGCGTAAACGTATCAGCACTAGTGGCAGTTATAATGCGTCGCGTCGTTGCATTAATAATTTAGTGCACGTTTTCCTACGGAAACCAGCACGTTCGATCGGCGCGCGCTAGAGCCACAGGCCGAGATGTGGCACGCGTTCGTTCTTATTGCGACTGCAGAAGGTCATTGGCTAGACGTCCAGAGCGAGTTGCAACGACTCGGCGCGCTTGATCTGTTCGCGAATCAATTTGTCATCGATCGCATATCGCGCATTCCGTGAATTTTCAGTCGCCGAAGAGGAAGAAAGAGAAAGAAAGAGAAAGAGAGAGCGACACATTTGGCGGCGGCCGGTTTTCCTCGCGTTTTTTAATCGCGTGATGCGTCGACGTAAATAACGCGCATCGCGTTCGTGACCACGTTCTGATGAAAATAATCCTCCGCATCGGTGCGTTTATTGCGTGACAAAAAACGTGCGAAAGCCGCGGCTTAAATGCGCGCCGCGCCATCGAAACTCATCGTAATCCCTCGCGACTCATTGCGCTGTTCATAGAGAGATATTATATATATATGTACGTACACGCATACGTGCGCGCGCGTACGATCTTCAACAGCATAATGCCGCTCGTAATCGGGAGGGAAGTAGCGCGTGCGAATGGTACATATTTTCCGAGTGAGTCAGCGCTCAGCTCTCCCGACAAGAACGATTCGTTGGATTCGACTCGCGATGCGCGAGAAGAGGGTCGATTAATTGGATCGAACGAGAAAAACGATATTCTATTTTAAACCGCGTTGAATCGACGCCTTTATCGCGAAGACGCCACGTGTTTTCCTCGTCTCGTCTCCTTTGTGTTGTAATTACGGAAATTTGTATTTATTCGCGTCAGAGCAGTCGGCTCGTATATATTATGATACACCCGATTGTTCTTTTGTCTACTTGATGATGATACACATATCGTGCGCGGACTCTCTGTAAAGTTAAAATACACAAAAATAATTTATGAACGCGTAAAAGGGTTTGAAATGTATACTTGAAAACTATTTCGTTTTATCTTTCGTATTACAATTTTTTTTATTGTTTGCTGCGCGAAAATTAAACGTTGAAAAATATCTTTGCAACGTACAAATTCCATGAACAGTTTGCAATTGCAAATATTGCTCGTACCGGATACCAGGAAATAATTGAAATAATGATTATTTGTTAAAAAAAAAAAAAAACAAACAAATTGTCCAAGTGTTTTTTGAAAAATCACAGTATTACCGGTCTCCGGGAAACAGAGTATTTTCAATAATGCCGGCTTGCGAAATGGGTTAAAAGGTTGTTCAACGTAAGAGGGACGGGCGCGCGAAGTACGGGAGTTTGAAAAAGCTCGTGGACGGTGAATAATGCACAAACGCGTCGTAAGATTTTCCACGTGGGTGCGCTTTCTGATAACACGTTTCAGCCAGATCGATATCGTTTCTTTTCGCGCCACCGACAACTACCGGTAAAAGAGGGAAAAAGAGAAGCAGAGGGTGCACCCTCAAGCCCCATTTTAGATGAATCGATTTTTCAACTGTTAACCCCTCCCCCCTCACATATGTAAACGGGAGCAGCTCGTGCGCACCTTGTAGAGCTTTAATTTTACAACTGCATCGCAGCCATATGTATTTATAATTTTTTTAATTTTGTGTTGCGCGATATCACCAAATTTATTAATTTTGTACATCTATATTTGCAGCTCTTCTTCTACAGAAAAAGTTACTTCAGCTAGCACATGACAGGCTTGCGTCATTCTTTCTTTTATTTTCTTGAGCATATCCTGTCTCCACCTGTTACTTCCTGGTATCGATAAGATATCTGTGAATCTTAATATAGAATACATTAGTTATATGAGCCATCAAAACAAGATATTCTGTGTGACATGCGATATGTCTACGTTGTCAGAAGAGATATTCTGTCAATACATTCTCTTTGTTGGAGTTTGTTTTAAAAAGAAAAAAAGAGATAAAGACATCAGTAGTTTTATATAAATCGTATTTTTGTGCTAATAAGGAGAGATCAGTAAAAATTTTTTTTTTTTTTTTTTTTTTTTTCACCATTCTCTCTATTTCCATAATAATGAGAAATTTTCCCAAAAACTAAACACACGAAAGATAATAAAGTTAATTCAATCGGGTCTCGTTTGAAGTAATAACTGCGCTATAATAGGATAGCATTTACGTTTAAAATAACATCGTCCGGTTTACTGTTTCTATCGCGCCGTCGGTTTTGTGCGGAATTTTCATTATATACGAAAAAATTCACTCCCTTCTCTTCCTCTTCGATAATATTCCGCATCTGGCCGCAACAATGGTCGATTGTGTGCGGTCCGGCGGAACACATCGCCCGAAGGCACAACTGATTAATTATCCGACGTTTACTCTGTTACCCCAAATCGTTTCCTCGTATCGATTTGGTTACGAAGGCGATCGCGGAATGTTCGCAGTGTGTCACGTCACACATCGCAGATTCTGAAAATTATATCTCGACGCGCGAGTAGACAAATTGGAGAAACCAGTGTGTTAAATGTTCTCTTCTCGCTTGGAGGTCGTTAACCTGGTTTAACCGCTGCGATACCACTCGACCTCTTTCAACCTCGCGCAACGTTTCGAAAAGAAATGCATAAGTTTTCCACGCAAAATGATCTGCAATATTAAATTTGTACGTAAATCGCTTGCAGTGAGAAAGAAAAAAATGAATTTTCTAGAGTAACTCTACCTAGAATTCTCCACCCCGACGCAAAACCGCAAAAGGGTTTCAACAACCCATTGGAAGGGTGTCGCGCGTATCGATCGCGTCCATGTCCACCGTCTCTCGGTCTATCGATAATTCCGAGGCGAAGCAGCGCGCAAGGGTGTAATTCCACCTCTAGACTTAACGATCTCGAAACGATATTCCAGCCGAGCGGCGGTAGAGAAGAGAGAGAGAGAGAGAGAGAGAGAGAGAGAGAGAGAAAGAGAGGGAAAAAGAAAGAGGAAGAGAAAGAAGAGGAAAAAGGAGTGAGAGAACGAGATGAAAGTTTCAGACCGAAATCGAGCTTGCGCTCCATAGACGGTGCAAGTTGCTGTAAGTAGCTTTCCAAGTAGAGTCCATCGCTCGGAGAGAGTGGAAAAAAGTAATCCGTGAAAAAAGAGCTCGTTGTTGCGCCGCTGCGCGTAGCGTTGCCGCGTCACTCTGCGCGTGCATCGGCCTGACGTGCAGCGCAGCGCTGCGCCGCATCGCGCATGCGTTATCTTGGCCCGCCCGGGCCGCGCAGCGATGGGCCCGATCCGATTTTCCGCGTTCCCCTGTTGCTCAAGATAATAATTTTATAGTACTCCAATTCGGTGAGTAAAACAACAATGTAAAAATGGATCCGGGATTGTCTTAAAAATTAGAGAGCATCCAACTTGGCTATTGTAAGAAGAGAAACTTTTTTTTTGTAAAAGAATCTTACCGTAGTTTTACCTCAGAGCGCAAATGTTTCTCCGAAATGTAAGGTATCGTTGACCTCTCGACCCTACTTCAAGCCATCGCTAGTCGTTGCACCGACCGCGACGTTGCCGATTTTCTCCGACATGAGTAAGGGGAAGCGTGTGGGTGCTCTCTCTTTCTCTCTGTCTTTCTCTTTCTCTCTTTTTCTCTCTCATAAGCACGTAGCACGGGCAAGGGTGGCCGACCAATTAAATATGGCGGCTACGGTGGGGTGTGGCGCTTGCGCATGCGTGCGGCGGCCGGTGCGCGGTGATCGGCAAAGGGCGCGTGGGAGGGGGTAGACGGGAATTGTCGGGCGGCAGAGAAGGAACCGGCCGGCAAGCAGAAAGCAACGACGAGTGGTTTGTGGTGGTGCGCGCGCCTAACGTCAAGATAGATTTCACGGAGTGTGTCGCGGGAGATCTCGAGAGGAGGCTTCTCATATATTGAGCGTGAGCAGAAAGGAAATCAAGCGGACGCAGGAGTTAGTTCGGAATAAGCGGAATAGCGTGAACGGAGAGAACGAGGAAAAACGGAGTAAAGAGATACCGCGAGAATGACGATGGCAACCGAAACGGAGAACAACGGCCCGGAGAGCAAGGAGATCAAGGACGTGAAGGAGATGAAGGAGGCGCTCAAGGACGACGCGCCGCCGGATAACAAGCAGGAGGAGAAGGACGCGGCGAAGAAGGACGAGGCGGCCGGCAAGAAGGACGATGACGCCGCCGCGACCGCTGCTGCCGGTGGCGCGGCCACGGCACCTACGAAGGCCAGCACCGTACACCACCCCGATTACGAAAAGGATGTTGTTTACCTGTATCAGTTCCCGCGGACGCCGTTGTTGCCGTCCTTATCACCGTATGGTCTCAAGGTGGAGACGTGGTTGCGGCTCAATGGCATCAAGTACGAGGTAAGTGTCGAGAAAGGAGCGACCTTTTTTTTTTACAAAAACCGATAATCGGTCATTTCTTTCATCCGCACGCACTTGTTCGTGCGTGTCTAGAGCTGTCGGTCGGTGCCCGGCGAAGCAGGATCGATTTCCTTCATCATTCAACGCCGGTCCCTCCGACCTCTCTCTCTCTCTCTCTCTTTCTCTCTCTCTCTCTCTCTCTTACTCTCTTTCTGTCTGCGTCTTTTTCTTTCTGTAAAACGATCCCGTAGAATCCCTTTGGGGAATTTTGGAAACTTAAGGATAAATGGAAGAGCTCCTTACCTGAAAGTCATAAGTTAAAAGAGTCAATGGTTTTTCGAAAAATGTGCGAAGCGGAGCGGAGTTTCACTTCCCGCGCAACAAGGGAACAATTGAAAGATTTACAATTCTAACTTGGACATTAGCCAAATTCAAATGAGACCGTTAACCGGATGCTGTGAAGTATGAAAGATCACAACTTAGATCAATTGTTCGCGATATTGAATATCGGAATTGTTATTTGCGTGTTTCCGTCAAAATATGCTAACTATGTAGTGGCGATTTAAATCCTCGTTTCGCTCGTGCATCGAATGTCGATCGGGCGATATGGCGTCGCAATTTTGTGCCGCGCGCTGATGTCGATTCACCGGTTGGTTCGCGTTGATTATTCCGCGCATTTTAATGCAACTCTCCGAGTTGATTTACGTGCCAAGATGCAGCACGGCATTTCGCTCGGAAGGAATCAGGGTGTGGATGAAGGGAGCGCGACATACGGACTCTCCTGATGCAATCGAGGCCTGTTTATGCGCGTTTGCGTTCGTGTAGACCCAAACAGATTTGTCCGCGCGTGTATTTGTGTTTATTTCTGGAACTGTTTCGACAGGAACACACGCGTACAGGACGTGTTCGGATACATACGTATGTTTGAAGTTTGTTTAAAATTATACAAAAGTTTACATTTGTGCGTTTACATTTGTTTTTTTGAAGATATTGCACATATCTTGGAATCACATGAAAATTTGAATCACGGCAGTAAGATTTAACAAATTTTCTCTGCGCGATTATCTTCGCTCTTCGCGAATCGTCGCGAGACGACCCAGAAGGCGTGAATATATATTCCCCCCGATAGAGATACGGACATTCCGTGGGGTAATCTCGTCGCGGCAATAAAAAATAAAAATGCACGTGTGCCTGAACGCACACATTTGCAACGCGACGGACATAATTATCCTGCCGCGACGCACGACAAAAATGCATACATAAAGACGGCCTTCGCAGCCGCTTCAAAATGGCGGCTGCTGTCAACTTTCGGAGCGGTGCATTCGATCTGCGTATATGTACATATGCACTTCGGACGCAGAACTTTGCGCGAAACTTATGTAGCACAGTGTACTTGCACTACTTGAAACACTCAACGTTTTAATGATTTTTTTTTTTTTTAAGAAGTTTTTACATGTGTAGAAGGCGCTTTTTGACCTCAATGCGCTCTTCACCTGCGTTCGATATGTCGTGACGTTAATTTTAATGAATCTCGGCAATGCACTTCGTGAGAGAATTTCGCTCGATTTCTTTACGAGGAGATATGCACTTCGCAAGTATTCGTTTATATACGGAACCGGAATACAAATTTCTGGTAATTTACGGCACATCGGTCGCTACCGAAAGACACGAGAAGCGTGCGATCGGTCGTTTTCTTTCCGCTGCGCGATTTTATTGATATAGAAAGCGGGGCATCCCGGTTTCTGAGAGACGCTCGCGAGAACGATCTACGAAAGTGTATCTCCTGCGCGCGAATCGTTCCGGACGCGCGCTCATTCCGGCTTCTCTTGAGAAACGGATGCGGAACGGATGAAAAAATATACACGTTTAAGAAAAAAAAAAAAAACGTCTGATATCTCATCTCGGTGTTTCTCACAGTTTGTTTCGTCGATCGTGCTGTCTCATCGTGTTGTTGTTTCGCGGCAGATCGACGCGATATCGGGAGATATTCCCCGCGTCGTAATCGACTCGATCGTCGCGAGAATCGATTGTTGCTCGCGTCGTCACGGGCGCGCTTTCACGCGCGAAAGTTGAAATTCTTCCCAGCGAGATAGCGCGCTTATAATTATCGCGATTCATTAGAACGATATTGTGAGCGAAAATCGTCGCTAATGATCGGGATAATGGCCAATTGAGAATTTGTTTCGGCGTTTCGCTTTTGCATCTTCATTGTCGGCCGCTGTGTAATCATTAAGTTTAGAAGTCTGCGCGCTAACGGACCTCACACATTTTCATTACAAACCTGCGAACAAAGTGTTTTCAACTTTGTTTTGCGAAGCTTATGCAAAGCGAAAACCTGCGCACATCGAAAAAAAACGAATGACAACACACGTTCTGCACGTTTGAAGTCACAAAATCACACACAAAAAACTTTCAACCGAGCTTTCTCTTTTGGCAAATTTCTTTTACCATTTTAATTTCCCGCTCTTTAATGTGAATCGATTCTAGAATCATCGTGTAAAATAATAATATAACAATAATATAAATTCGCACACAACTTTCGTGAAAAAAAAAATCGCGCTGATTTCTGGAAGTTCCTTGAGAAACCTGACTTTACTTATCTGGGTTTGTCAAAGAAAGAAACATAAATTTCTCGCTTTTCAAATTTCGCACATATTTCCGTGATTTCTATCCTCTCACGTATCTTTTTGGACATATTTCTTTTGTTTGTTTTTTTGCATTGACGTTCTCTGCTTATCCCTGTGTGTGTCGTTACCCCGACATCTGTTGAGCATAACATTTTTTTTCAAAAGGGCGCGGCGACTACGGTCTTCTGCGCGATTTGTTTAGATAAAGATCTCTTTTGCAATTCACGCAATGTGTGATGCTTGAGATTTTCTCGACTGAATTTGAAGTAGATACTTTTTTAATCCAATCAAAACTCGACTGAATCAGCGAACTGTGACAATAAAATTTTATTATTATTATTATTGCGATACTTGAAGACCGAGGCGCGCGGCGCCATTTATGGCTTATGAGATTTATAGTTATCGCGCTATCAACCCTGTTTGAGTCATTTATAGTTATATATAAATATAGCATGCATGGCTTATGATTAGAAGCTATTAATATAATCGCTTTAACGTAATGGGAACTGGGAAATTAATTTGTTTGCGCGACTGTTAATTTTACATAGATTTTATAATAGTATAACGCGCGAGATGTCTGCTTTTCCAATGAACGCCCATTCCGAACCGTGAAATGGTAGAAGTGGAAGAAAAGAGGTCACAGGTAATACGGAGGAAGTTCCTATTGAACTAATCATTACCAAGATAGCTACAAATAACGAGTGGAATGGTCGAGATCAATTGGTCGGGTTGGCCAATTTCGGACATGCTAACGGATATCAGACTCTCAACACGAGAAAGAAACTCTGAGAAAGCGTCTTCGTCATATTTTCGAAAGATACTTTCCTGGAATCTTCTTTTCTCTCCGCTCTGTATTAATATCTCACGATCAGAACGACCGATATCGTTCTTATTGGCCTGGAGACAGCGCGAGGTCTACCCTAAATCGGGACAGGCGCGCTGCTTTCTTATGCCGCGCAAAGCACGGAACGACATTTTTGTTATCCCAGTTCCCAGTTTAACTCCTCCCGAATGGGAAATATAATCTTGCTCACGATCGACGTCTCGAATAAACTTGGAGACCCACTTTTGCGATATCGGTTGAAGATAGTAAGTCATCGGAAGTTTTGATTAAGAGTGATTTGTATTTTGAAGTGCGCTTGGAAGGTTTTTTTTTTTCATACACAAAGGTGCTTTCCTTCTCGGTGAAGTTGTTGTCTGAACAGTCGTGCGACACGAAACAAACAGACAAAGCTCTTGAGATCTTCGTCTGATAAGTTCTGAGACACGCGCATTAATATTGCCGAGGAATGCGGCTTTGTCATTCGCTTTTTTCCCGACCTTGTTATGTAGACGGTGTCCAGCCAACGGAACCGTGAAAATGTTGAGCGAATTCTTTTCGTTTCCGCGTCTCTGAATAACGTTCGATGTTCCAGTGGGAGAAATCAAAATTAGATCGTTGAACAGTACTCGCGAGTCTAAGTGGAGGAATTCGCGTCCTCGATAATCGGCGTACCGAGAAATATCCGATTATGATGATTGCACATACCTTTGGAGATTAATATTCTAACGAACATCATTCAGATATTTACCGAGAAGACGGAAACACACACAGTGCATTCAAGATTTTAATTTCGTTAATTGTATATCACAGACTATTACACAAAATGCGAATTATTGTCGGAATTAATTGTCGGCATTATTTTCGGCAATTAATACCTCTGTGGATTATAAAATTGAAAATTGAATTTTATTGCGCTGAGCCTTTTATAAATGCGAGAGCAATTAATTTTATTTAACGTTTAATAGCCACTACGGCCGAGTTAGCGATGAGAATATTTTATCAAATTGAAAATTATTTTATAAAATAATATTCTTTTTTCTCTCTCTCTCTCTCTCTCTCTCTCTCTTTCTCTCAGAGAGTGGGGATAAAAATCAGGATAATGTGTGTCCGATCTCCCCCGTATAATCGGCGCGCAAGAAGAAAATGATTTTCTATCTGAACGCAGCGGGCGAACGCTTACCGGTTAATACCGCGCCACGGTGTAGAAACAATTGGCAAATTATTAAGTGCAGCATCCGCCCGTTAATCCTCTCCGAGTGTTCACACGTGTTTCGCACCCGTGTCTGTCACGGGGTTCCCACCGCCAGCGACGCTCAACTAACGCGCGCCTCGTGGACGTGGCACTTTTCAACCAATGTTAGATCTCTCTCGGAGCCGGGACGCAATTAAAGTTAAAACACGGGACAAGACTAACGCTTCTCACAAGTGAGAATGTGTTTAATTGCCTTTCTTGAAACGGAGTCGGAAGAGTCGAAGCTCGTTACGAAGCGAAGCGCAAGAGATGAAAATTGTGAATCACACTTTTATATCACGAAATATTTTCACGAGAA